CATATGTAGGACAGATGTAGGACAGATGTAGGGCAGATGTAAGACATATGTAAGACAGATGTAGGGCAGATGTAAGACAGATGTGGTAGGACAGATGCAGAACAGATGTCAGACAGATGTAGGACAGATGTGAAGCTGATGTAAAAATATGTAGGGCAGATGTAAGAGATCTAGGACAGATGTAAGACAGGCACATCTCGGACAGATGTAGGACAGATGTAAGACAGATGTAAAAAAAATATGTAGGGCAGATGTCAGACAGATGTAGGACAGATGTAAGACAGGCACATCTGAGACAGATGTAGGACAGATGTAAGGCTGATGTAAAAAAATATGTAGGGCAGATGTCAGACAGATGTAAGACAGATGTAAGACATATGTAGGGCAGATGTAAGAGATCTAGGACAGATGTAAGACAGGCACATCTCGGACAGATGTAGGACAGATGTAAGACAGATGTAGGGCAGATGTAAGACAGATGTAGGGCAGATGTAAAGCATATGTCAGACAGATGTAGGACAGATGTAAGGCCTATGTCGGACAGATGTAGGGCAGATTTAAGACAGATGTAAGACATATGTAGGACAGATATTGAACAGATGTAAGACATCAGTCTAATTGACCTTTGACCCCCTAAGTGACCCTGCTCTGGTGTTTGTGTCAGGTGGAAGACCAGTTTAAGATGAACAGACAGACTTCTCCTACGTTTCAGCACAAAGTTTCAAACCGGATCTCCGACCCATCCCTGCCACCCCGATCCGAGTCCTTCAGCAGCGGAGGGATCCAGCAGGCCCGGACTCCGCCCATGCACCGCTCTGTGGAACCGCAGGTCAGAGCCCTACCCTCACTGATGTGGGTTTGTTAGTTTTTTTTATTTAATTAGTTAATTTAGAAGAGAAGAGCTGCTGAACCTGAGAGATGTTTACAGATGTTTCTGTTTCTGGCGTTTACTGAGGAACCCGTAGACAGAACCTATCACTGGTGTTGACAACAAAATGAGGAAACAGTTTATAACAATTAACTATCAGAACATTAGTTATTATCGGATCAGAACCATGAAGACTGAAAGGAGAAGTCCAAGATCCAGACCTGGTTTATGCTCCTGTTATGACTGTTTGACTAATTTAGCACAAATCAGTTAAAAAGAACAAATTCTTAGTGAAGTTTGTGCCAGTTGTTGTGATCAGTCAGTATCTTACCTGCAACAGAGAGCAGTCAATGTGATCCATTTAGGAGAATCAGGGAGAAATTGATTTATTGGAGTCAAGCTAACGACTGATCGTACCAAACTGAATTAACCTGAAACTTTCTTTTATCTAAATGAATCAAAACATATTCTAAAATGAACAGGACTGTAGCTAAAATTAACCAAACAGATAATAAACCTGAACCTGGCTAAATGCTAGCTAAAACTAGCAAAGCTGTAACTAAAATTAACAAAACAGATGCTAAAATTAAAGTAAACAAAACAGTTGAAAAAATAAGAAAATTGTAGCTAAAGCGAAAAGTACCAGATTGGTAGCTAGAAGTAGTGAAAGGGTTGCTAAAAGAAAAACAGTTTGAACAGTAGGCAAAGGCTAAAAGTGGCAAAAGTATAGCTAAAAGCTGAAAGCTGCATGATAGTTGAACTAACAAAGTAGTAGTTAAACAGCAAAAATTGCAGAAAAGTTGCAAAACAGTATCTAAAATCTACAAGTGGTAATAATGCTAGATAAAAGCTAAAAATTGCAGGAGGGTAGCTAACAACTTAACTAGCAAAATGGTAGCTAAATGCTAAAAAAACAAAACCAAAACCTAAAGCTAAAATAAGCAAAAACAGAACTGAAATTAGCAAAACTGTATCTTAAGACATAAAAGAAGCAGAAATGTAGCAAAAAGCCCAAAGTGGCAGAATTTTAGCTTAATTTTAGCTTTAGCTTTAGCTAAAGTAGTATAAGAACATTAAACCAGAGGCAGTAGCTGAAGATTTCCAAAACCAAAGATATTTCAATGTATTTTTATGGGGAAAATATTTGTAAATAAAGTTAAATATTTTGAAAAGTATAAAAGTTACATAAACCAGATGTCACAGCTCCCATCTGCTGAATGAGCCCAACGTTTTCATATATGAACGGATAAAGGTCCAGGTCCGGTGTTTTTTTCTCTCTCTCCCTGGACCTCAACGAACTCTTATCTGGACCTTTGTGGTTCTACCTGGTTCCGACAAATATCGCCGGGTGGTATTTCGCTGGTTTTCAGCTGGACTGGCCCTCGTGGTGTTTCCATAGGTGTGGGGGAAGTGTACCTGTGACCCTCGAATTGGACCAGAACCGAATCGAGGTGGCTGTGGGGAAATTCGTCTTCTACAGAGCCGGTCTCAGCTTCAGTGAGCAGCCCGTTACTTTTACTGAAAGACGATCCACCTCCGTGGAGTCGTTGTGTTCACCTGGAGGAGACGCTCCGGTGCTTTGAAGCGCCGCCGGACCGGAGCAGAACCGCGCCGCCGGGCTGCCGGACCGGAGCAGAACCGCGCCGCCGGACTGGGCCGCCGGACCGGAGCAGAACCGCGCTGCTTGACTGGGCCGCCGGACCGGAGCAAAACCGGGCCAGGGATATCTTAAGCCTCTTCGTCTCTCGTGCTTGGAGCGCCGGAGCCGAACTGGAGCAGAACCGGACCGGACCAGTTGCCGACTTCAGCCTCAGCCTCTCCGGTCAGTCTCGCTTTTCACCGGGGGTGCCCCGTGCTGTCGGGTGCTGAGAAGCGGAGGAGCAGCGTGGAGGAGCAGCATGGAGGAGCAGGGCTGCGTGGTGCTCGAGAGAAGTTCGGAGTTTGTATCGGAGCTGCTGCAGGCCTCCATCCAAACTCACCTGGATAATAATTAATTTTATTCCGGATCACGTTGTTGGCCCCTGTTGACCTGAAACGAACTTGGACCATGCCTTTCACTTCAGGAGGATTTTCTGGCAGCTCGCTCTGCTATTTGCTGCGAATTTTCAGTTTCTGTTTCGGCCTGTTGATTCTGGACCCAGCTTCTGTTTCTCATGGGAGCATCCATCCATCCATCCATCCATCTTCACAGGGGGGCCGGAGCCCCCCTCAGCCTGACTCAAACTGCAGTTGGGCCACCTCGTCGGGTTTGTTTGCCCATTTGAACTGTGACATTTTATGGTCTGAATCTTTTCTGCATCATTCATATTACTGTCACTATTTTCAGTTCTCAGATTATCTGGAGTCACTGAATCTTGTTAATACACCTGAATCTGTCCATCACTGCAACTTTCACTGTTTTTGGGTTCTGAATGATCGCGTCTTCATTAATGTTTCTCATGGTTCGATTATGGGGGCTAATTGTCACACTGTTAACTCCTGTAATTACACATCAGTCACAAAAAACTCAAGAAAATGTCTGATAATAATGTTGTTATTGCTCTCAGGAATTCAACCTAATCCTGGACCCCCCACTAATTACAGCACACCAAATGACTTTAAAAACGCCTCTGGGCTCCATTTTCTGCATGTAAACGCTCGTAGCCTTCTGAAAAAACTTGATGCTGTGAAAATCCTGGTCAGTTCTTCTGGGGCAGATGTTATCTTTATTTCTGAGTCCTGGCTCAACAAATCTGTAATGAATAATGACGTGGCAATCAATGGGTTTAACATCTACCGCTGTGATCGTCAAAAAAGGGGGGGTGGAGTCATTATTTACATTAGAGACACTCTGGTTTCAAGTCTTGTGACTTTCAAAACAATTCCAAACCAGTTTGAAGCCTTATCTGTAAACATCACCTTGAATGGAGGCCAGGTTTTAACTGTAGTCTGCTGCTACCGCCCCCCCACAGCTTCACCTGAAGCATTAAATGCCATTAAGGAATTCCTTGGTAATTTAAAATTCAAAGAGATCTTTTTGGCTGGAGATCTCAACATTGATTGGTGTAAGTCGACCCCCCTCTGTGACAAATTCAAGGAATGTTGCTTGTCTTTTAATTTAACCCAACTGATCGACTCCCCCACCAGATTAAATAAAAGCCATCCTGACAATCCCTCCATCTTAGACCTGTTTCTAACTAATATGCCTCACAAATTCCCTGGTACAGGTGTATTCGCTGATCTTTTGAGTGATCATTGTGTGACAGCGGCTTTAAGAAATAGTAAACTTCCACCTTCTAAGCCCAGATTAATTAAAAAAAGGGATCTGAAACATTTCTGTGAACAGTCATTCCTCTGGGATCTGTCTCACTTTGACTGGCATCGTATTCTGTTAACTGATGACGTGAACTCTGCTTGGAACTATTTCCATAATAATTTCATTTATTTCCTGAACTTACATGCTCCTTTTCGTCAGTTCAGAATAAAGGGACGAGACAGCCCCTGGTTTACTCCAGAGCTAGCTGACCTCCTGCACAGGAGAGATCATCTTTGGGCCGCAGCGAGAAAATCTGACTCAGACACTGATTGGTTGAGTTTTCGACAGATGAGGAATAAATGTACAACTGCTGTCAAAGCAGCAAAACGAAACTATTTCTTATCTCAGACCTCCAAAAATCTAAATGACCCTAACAGATTCTGGAAAACAATTAAATCTCTCTCAGGCACCCCCCAATCATCTGACCTCCCATCACAACTTCTCGTTAACTCTGCTCCTGTGTCAAATAAGCACGAGATCCTGAACTGTCTCAACAAACATTTTGTTGCTTCTGGTTCTTTATTTGACACAGTAACTAATGGAAAATCAGCCACTTCACTTAATAACCAAACTTCTACAAATCAAATCCCTCCTACAAGTCAATCCTCAGTTAATCACACCTTCTCTTTTTCTCCATTCTCAGTCAGTGAGGTCAATAAACTGTTAAAAGATCTTGATCCTAAAAAATCTGCAGGTCCAGATGAACTTCCACCTTATTTCTTAAGGCTGGTTGCTCATATCATCACAGTCCCTGTGACCCACATCTTCAATCTCTCCATAAGACAAAACTCCATCCCAGACACTTGGAAAACAGCCTTTGTTCTTCCTTTGCTGAAGGGAGGTGACCCCACCTCACTGAACAACTATCGACCAATCTCTAAACTCTGCATTTTAGCCAAGGTTCTAGAAAAACTGATAAACTCTCAAATCAAAAATTACCTGGACTCATTTAACATCTTACCTCCACATCAATCTGGTTTCAGGAAACAACACAGCACAACCACTGCTTCACTGAAGGTTCTTAATGACATTGTTGAAGCACTGGATGCTCAGGATTACTGTGCTGCACTTTTCTTAGACCTGTCTAAAGCTTTTGACACTGTGGATCATAACATCTTGTGTCATAAACTCTCAGAAATCGGTTTCTCAGATCACACCATTGGTTGGTTCTCTAACTATCTTTCAGACCGGAGGCAATGTGTTCAACATAATGGTACTTCCTCCAGTTATTTAACAGTCAACAATGGTGTACCACAAGGCTCAGTCTTAGGACCCACCCTCTTTACAATCTACATACATAATGTAGGTAAAAACATCCCTAATGCATCCATACATTTCTATGCTGATGACACAGTTGTTTATTGTCGAGCTAAAACAGTTGCTAAGGCTTTCCAGCTTCTGAAATCTGCATTTAACATCATCCAGACTGATTTGTTTCACCTCAAACTTGTCCTAAATGCCGAAAAAACCAAAGGGATGCTTTTTTTCAAATAGGAAGTTGGTCCCAGCAGTTCTTCCTCCGATTTTATCCTCAAATGGTGTCCCGATTGAGTTTGTTGATTCCTATAAATATTTGGGTATCTTGGTCGACTCACATCTTTCTTTTAAGCTCCAAGTGGAAAACTTGGTAAAGAAACTGAAAGTTAAACTGGGTTTCTTTTTCAGAAACAGATCCTGTCTAACCCTGAATGCTAGAAAACGCCTTGTATCTGTGACTTTCCTTCCCTCAATTGATTTTGGTGATATTATTTACATGAACGCTCCTACAAGAACCCTGCAGATGTTGGATGCTGTCTATCATGGTGCACTAAGATTCATAACTGGCTGTGATTATCGTACCCACCACTGCACCCTGTATTCACTGGTTAACTGGACATCATTAACTTCACGCAGACTCTCTCACTGGTACATTTTCATCTTTAAATCACTTCTTGGTCTGCTGCCTTCATACATCTCCTCCTACATGTCTCTGCGTGAGTGCAGCTACGGAGTGCGCTCTCAGGACATTATTACCTGCAGTGTTCCCTCAGTGAGGACTGAACTAGGCAAAAGGGCCTTCTCCTACTCCGCTCCTGTTTCCTGGAATATCTTACAAAAAGATTTGAAGCTCTCGACCTTGACCTCTCTAAGTGTCTTTAAAAATCTGTTGGACACCTGGCAGGGTCCAATGCAGACATGTTCCTGTTTTTAGTTTTATACATTTGTCTCGGAATCTAGCAGTTTTTTTTTTTTGGTTTTGTTACCTTTTTCCTTTTAGCCATCCTATTTGTTAAAAAAAATAAAATAAAATAAAAATACTGTAGTATGAGTTTTTATAACTGCTTATTGTTGTTGCTGTTGTCCATTGTTGTCATCTTTCTTTGTTGAAATCAGGTCTCTCTTGTAAATGAGTCCTCGAGGCTCAATGGGATTTACCTGTATAAATAAAGGTTGATTGATTGATTGATAAAAGGGCACAAAGTTTGAAGGAGTGAAATTGTTAAAATTTGGAGCATAAATAATAAACAGTGAGAAAAAAAACGTGTAAATCCTCAGAGCACACTCTGAGCCGAGCACTTTAAGAAAACTGTTTTTTTTTTTTTTTGCTTTTATTGATGGGATTAAGTATCTCAGAGCAGCTGAAGTGCCTCAGACGCCCTGAAACACAAGTGGCTTTATTTTAGCTTTTTCCCAGGTGATGAACAACGCTCCAGCAGGGGAAAAATGAAAAAGTTTTGTGTTGACCCCTTTTTAAACCCAGATGTTGAACGCAGCCTCTGACCTTCATCACTCCTCCTGCATCACTTCCTCCTGGCCTGCTTCACGTGTTAACAAATCATAATCCTGCTCTTCCTCCTGCACCCTGCTTGTTTCCTGCCTGTGTGTGTGTGTGTGTGGGTGTGTGTTCAGATGGCCCACCTTGTGCAGGTGAAGAGTCACGGCCTCTCGGGCTCCCAGTCCTTGTACGACCCTCACGGCGTGTCCTCCACCTCGGCGTCGCCCTCCCCCTCCCGGCCTCCCATGCCCCGGCAGAACTCCGACCCCACCTCCGACACCCCTCCCGCCCCACCCCTGTCCCGCCTGGCGCCCCCCCTCGACAAGCTGGACCGCAGCTCGTGGCTGCGGCAGGACGACGACCTGCCGCCCAAGGTTTCTGCATGACCCGCCCGTGTGTGTGTCTGTCTGAGCGCGCGTGTGCACAACGGCAAACTTTACTTTCTGTCTCGGTTCTGATTCTGTGGTTTGAGCATGTTTTTGTTTCATTTGGAGTGTTCTGATTGAAAATTAACTTTTAAAAACTTAATATCGTCCTGGAAAAAATAAAACGCACCTTCGTCCAGTTGTAGGGTTTACTTAATCTGGACTTAATAAAACTGATCCGTCTTTACCACGACAACAGACTCACAACAGATATGTGTAACACAACACCGAGATGGAAAGACATCAGCAACGACCTCAGAGAAGCTGCTGTTGAAGGGTCAATGATCTTTTAGAGTCAATAGTTCAACAGAGAGAAAGATTTTCACAAGTGGACAACATTTCAGACAGCTGGAGGCAAATTCACCCTGAAGGCCAGACTGTGCAGTGAGCTCCATCAGGCTCTAAAGGCCTCAGTCAGCAGGTCAAAGGTCATGATTCTCTTTAAAAACAACATGGTAGCTCGACTTGGGTTTGTAGTTTCATCTGAAGGAACCACAAGACTTCTGGACCAGAATCAGACCAAAGGACAGATGTTTACCCAGAATGCACTGCAGCAAACAGCTCCTCCCAACAGTCAGCACGGTGGTGGAAGGCTGATGGTTTGGGTTCCTGTCAGTCACTGAGTGGACCATGAATTATTCTGTAGACCAATGGGTTCTGGAGTCAAACATGAGTCCATCTGTCCAACAACTGAAGCTTGGACCAAACTGAGTCCAACAGAACCATGATCCCAAACACAGCAGCTGATCTGCAACAGAACGGGTCAGAATGGAAAGAACAAAGATGCTGCAGTGATCTAGTCAGAGTCCAGAACCTCAACCTGACTGAAATGCTGGGATGGACCTTCAAAGAGCTCAGCTGAAGCAATGTTGGAAAGAAGAGTGGGCCCAAACTCCTCCGCAACCATGAGAGAGACTGATAAAGTCCTACAGAAAACCACTGAGGTTCTAAAATCTTCTGAATCAGGACCTGGAACCACTTTCTGTTTAATGAATAACGACCCTGGAATCTGTTGTGTTTTTGTTCCCTTCAGGTTTGATTTGAATCATTTCAGAACCTGAAGACTGGATCTGTTTATGCCGTAAAACCCCAGAACTGAACGAAGGTGGATTTTATGTTTGCCAGCACATTGTGTCTGTGGACCATTTAAAAACTCTGCAGTCCTTTCTTGTCCTGACACAATGAGATGTAAAGACGGGTTTACATTAAAGTACTGGACATCTGATTCAGTTTGAGTTTTTGGACTAAATCATGAACCGGACCGATCACAACTCTCTTCTGTTTCTTTGTTTCCAGGTTCCTCAGAGGACCACCTCCATCTCTCCTGCTTTGGTCAGGAAGAACTCTCCTGGAAACGGTCCTGGACTTGGTCCTCGGCCCGGTGCTCACCTCATACGGGCCAGGTACGTCCCAACGCGCAAAATAATGCAGTAGGACGCAACGGGTTTCAAACCGTTTCCTTTGATGAATGATATGCTGCTGTGTTTGCGTTCCCATAGCAACCCTGACCTGCGGAGGACGGACATCTCTATGGACACGCCCCTGAAGAGGACGAGCAGCGGCAGCTCCTCCAGCTCCAGCACCCCGAGCTCCCAAGGAGGTTCCAATGAGCGAGGTGACCGCACACGTATGTCCACTTCCTAGGTCCAAAACCCGGTCCTGAACTCTGAAACCAGTTCTGAACCCCCAAATAGCCCAATGGGAAGACCAAAACCAGTTTTATCAGTTTTTTAATCTTGTTGCTAATGGCCAAATTTGTCCAGTTTTCTCAAAAATGTCTTCACTTTAAAAAATGTCTTCCATCTTTAAGTTTATTCAAACTTTTCCACTGTTTTTATTTCTAAAATGTTCAAAAAGCAACTTTGCTCCTCTCTGGTATCCTTAATTTTAGATTTAGCGTTTGTTTCCAAAAATGACCCAACACTGTCGAGTTTATGGACTCAAGAACTTTACAAAAATCGTTCTCTCTGACCAAAATCTTATAATCCTTCTTGATTGGATTTCTAATTTGACTTGAAGTTATAATTCTGAAACAATACTCCAGATTAACACAGTTATATTGGAGAAGAAAAGTTCAGTGGATTATCTCTAAAAAGAATGTATAAAAGTGGAAAAACTGATGATAGAATATATCATCACCAATTTAAATTGATCCAAGTCTTCTGATTATAAGACCTCTGATTTAACCATTGACTTATCGCAGCCACACTCACACACACCACAGAACTGGTGAAATAAAACCCAAACATGGTGGTAAAAATGTCCAGGTGTTTGTCTCCTCTGTCTGCTTCAAATGGATTTAAACAGAATATCTCCACTGTTGGACTCAGCAGGTTTCACTTCAACACTGCGTTCACTTCAGGTTCAGGTAGAGGTTGTATCAAAGCAGTAAAACTAGCTGAATGTGTCCCCAGGATAGAAAATTTGACGCCCCAAATGAAATTATTGGAGCTGGCTGTTTGGAACATGTTCCGATCCGCTTGACGAACAAATTGGAACGCCTCAAAACAGTAAATAAGTAAAAAACTGAGAATGAATCACTAAGAATCCTTCAAAATAAATTCCATTTAATATAGTCAAAATAGCTAAAAAAAAAAATACACAGCAAGCTCAGTAAATAAAAAAAAACCCTTATTTATTACTTATTTGTGGGGCGAATGAATTTGAATGAATTAAATAAATGTTCGTCTCTGCTTGTGATTTCAGGTAATTCTGCTGCTAAAACCGAGAGCTCCTCACTTTCTTCCCACGACACCAAAGAGGACGGCAGAGACCTGACCCGGCCCAGCAGGCCTGCAGTGAGTCCAACATTTCAAATAGGTCCATCTGAGTGTCCCATGAACTTTAAATCTCTCTTAAGAGACTGGCGTGTCTTTGAACGCACCACGATGCTCTCCGTTCTCCCTCTCACCCTCCATCCTCTCCACCATCGTCTCTCAGAGATATAAAGAAATGGTTTTGATGTATTTATTTTTTTAATTCACTTTAAACGTGTAAAAATAAAACAAAAATCAGTTGCAAACAAACTCTTTGTACCCCCACAACCACAGAGAGAAGATCACGGTGTCGTTACCGCTGATTCAAAACCTCGCTGGCGTGCAGAAAGACAACACGCACCATTTTTCTTTGTCAGCATTGATCACTCGATTCTTAATGAGTTTCAACAACATTGGTCCAATCCTGCGTTGGGGTTGAATGCGTAAAATGGTGGGGAAAAGGGCGTAGAATGTTCTGTCCCCATTTTCCAAGCAAAAACAATCCAGTTAGAAGAAATAAGAGGCTCTCTTCTATCAACAAGGTTTATTCGTCATATGCAAAATCAACGCAAGGTCAGCAGTGGAATGAAATGTGTAGGACGAGAAGAACCATCTCTACTCGCCAAAAAAACAACAAGAAATACCAAAGCATGCAGCAAAAATACTAAAAACATACTAAAAGATACTACTAAAATACTAAAAAAAGATGTTAAAAAATACTACTAAAATACTAAACAAACAAGGCGCCAAAGTTGAAAAAGAAATACAACTACAGTGTGATTCGGTTAGCAGTGAGGTTCTTTCAACATCATGGTTCTGTTCTGTTAGCGGCGTGGTCTTGCTAACAGCTTAGCAGGTCTTGCTAGCAGGTCCGGTTAGCAGCTTGATGGTAATAAAGACCGCAGCAGCTGTACTCACAGACCGCAGTCCAGAACTGGGTCTGGCAGACAGAGAACATTCAAGGTTTCCCCGTGGAACTGAACGGGTCCATAGAGTTTGGTTCATGCAGGCAGATGGAGGATCCCGCTAGCAGTGTTAGTAGCATTAACAGGCTCTGCTAGTGCTGGGATCAGAATAATGTGTACCCCATCTGTGGACAACTCCACTAATCCTCTAACAGCTAATAGAGGGAACTAATTCATTTACCAGAATAGGATTTTCCATAACTTTGGAAACCATCAGCGGAATTAACTTCCACTAATTTAGGTTTTGCCATTTTAACAAAATTCACGAGCTTGATCCTGTCTGTTGTGGGCGTGTCTTAAAGAGTCCATTAGGCATGTTATTGGCTGACTGTGTGAACATGTGACAAGACATGATTGGTCGACGCAGCTTCAACTGGAAAGAGACGAAGACGTGTGACACAGACTGTGACAGTCGCCTTAGAAGTTAGAAGTTCAACGTTAGCTTCTGCCGATTTTGTTTTATTGGTTTATCGTTAGCGAAGCAATTTTTTTTAGTTAGCAGAATATGGGTTAGCAAAGCTGACTTTTTGTTTATCTGTGCCCACCACTGTTCATTTCTTCTCAGTTGAATTTGATTATTTGTGGCAGATGAAATTCTGTGATCATTAATTTTTTTGGCTCTACAGCATTATCAATCTGATTAATTTTCAGGAAATTCTGTTTTCCCAAGTTTGTGGTTGTCCAGAGTCGTTCAATATATGTGACTCGACATGCTGAAGTGAGAATTTAGTCATAAAGTATAGACAGCTATAGGTGCATTGGTTGAAAAATTTGCAATAATTTGAGGTCCCTTGAAGGAATATACTGAAAAAAAAATCTTAAAGGAATGGACTTTTCTGATAGAATCAACAATTTAATGATAAATTTTGAACAGAAAAGGCCTAAAATTTTCTACTCCTACATGGTAGTAAAGCTATTTTCAATAGCAGCTGGGAAATCCCAATATCCAAATATAGTTGAACTCGTTAGAATACGTTTTAAAAACAGGATTCAGACCGATTCTCCGGGGGTTATATCAATTAACAAGGCCAATGAAGACCGCCCATGACATCAAGGTGATCCATATCAAAATGTACCTTAAAAAGCCATAAATGTGAAAATGTGCTTAAATTTTCCTGATTGGATGTGGGGAGGTGGGGGTGGGTGTACGGAAGAGAAACAAAAGAGATCAAATTATGATTGCGTTTTATTCTTGTTGCATGTTTCTGAGTGTGCCAGTCAAAACAAAGATGACCCTGAAACATAAGATGTGAAACGTATACAATCCTGGAGATTAGATCAGATGATCCCAAATATCAATGTATTTGTTGTTTGACCAGTTGGGTTGTCTTTCCAATAACTTAATCGGGTAATGCGCCTTGCTCCAAACCAATGTATCCTCCCTTGCATCACGGCTAAGCTGTTCAGCATGATCGGACAAATCTAAACCTGCTGATAACGGGATGACTCTTTTTTTAGCGTGTTATCACAACGAATCGCACGTGCACAAACCTGAGCGCTTCTGTCCACACACATGATGGTCTCACTTTGGTGCACATAGGAATCAAAAACATGGTGGATCTGCTGCCCCTTCCCCGCTCAGACCCGGATATTGTTCACCTCTGCTCCCACCTTTCATTTCCACGGTCACACTCTTTCTCTCTCTTCTTCCATTTTACGACCCTCTCTTTCTCATCAGGAGGAGTTGGTAAGATTACGCCCCCTTCCCTCCCTCACCCCACCTCACCTCAGCTTTGTCCACTTCCTGTTCCTCGAATGTTGCTCGTGTGATGTGGTCTCTAAACCTCGCTGGTTGCTTCTGTTTTTATGTTGTGATGCGCTCGTGAGGCGGACATATTGCTACAGAAAGTCTGCTAAAGAAGGACAGGAAGTAGATTAAAATGTTAATAAATACCAGCTGATGACATTTTGACAAATGAAAGACAATATATAATTTGTGATTTAACATGAAACAATTACATTTTATTTTATTTTATTTAGTTTTCATGTTCATTCAGTTTAAAATAAAAGTCATGTACTAAAGTGAACCGTTTGATCCAACTGAACCCAATTTAAATCTAACTAAACTTCAATTTTTTTCAAGTAATTTTAAATATAATCTGTTTGATGAATAGATTTATTTTAAAAAAATTGTTAAAAATGAGTTTCTGAAAAACATCACAATTTATTAAAGCTATTTTAATATCTAAGAACATGAATAATTAGGTACGATTTTTTTGTCTACATACTTTAGCTAAATATTTATTTGTAATTTTATTTTTTGCTTACAACTTTGCTAGAAAAGCTTTTATATATTTTAATCAATAATATTACTTGTATTTTTACAAATTAAATTTTTGTCATGTTTGTTGGCAGAATATTTATATTTTATTTAAAAAGTCACAATACAATTTTAATATAGTTTACAATTTTACATATTTTATTAAATAATTATAAAATTCAATTTGAAGAATAAGATAAAATATTTTACATTTTATCTTTACAAATTAATATTAAAAGTTTTTTTTGTTGTTTTCAGAAGTAGGAGTAATAAAAAAAATATTAATATTTTTATTTCTTGTCTTTGGTTTAAATTTTGAGAGTTTTTGTAAATATTTATGTATTTTCTATTTAAAATTTAAGGAATATTTTCATTTATTTTACACAAGTTATTACTTTTGACATATTACATTTTTTTATTATATTATGTATTATTTATATTAAAAATGGTGTGTACTTTTTTACTTATTTTATATTAAAATATACACAGTTTCAGACAGTTTGTAGTGATTTTTCTTGGATAAATTGTTCTGTTTTTTATAACTAAAATAGAAGCAGCTGAATTAAATTCATCCTACACTATATTTGTTAATTTATGCCTTCTGTGATGATATTTACCAGGATCAAATCTGTTAAATTCAACTCATTAAAGAACCAGATTTATATAGTCTCCTTATGAAAATTTAAAAAGGAACCTTTATAGAGATTTGAGGTCAAAAAGCAATATGGAGACCGATCTGACACATCACAGGTTTATTTTATTTTTTTGTTTTATTTAGTTATTTATTTTTGTGGCTGCTCCGTGTGGATTTAATGTTCTGTGATTTTAACCTTTACCTCTGAGGCATGTCGGTCTCGTCTCCTCCTGCTTGTTGCCCTCCTGGTGATGAAAATTAAATCATTTTAAACCTAAAACTAACAACCTGCATGTCGTCTCTGTCATTTTGTTTTGTTTTCATTCATTTTTGTTTTTATTTTGTAATAATTTATCTTCTCCTTTGGAGTTTAACGGCGGGTTCTTGGTCCTCCAGGACCTGACGGCTCTGGCCAAAGAGCTGAGGGAGCTGAGGCAGGGGGAGGAGACCAGCCGCCCGCCCGTCAAAGTGACAGACTACTCTTCCTCCAGCGAGGATTCGCACAGCAGCGAGGATGAGGAGGGAGAGGGCGGAGCCAACGATGGAACGGTGGCTGTGAGCGACATACCGCGCATCATGTGAGCTGATTTTATTGTTGCTTTTTAACCCCAAATGAAACAGAATAAAATGAAAACAAACATGTGATGAGAAAAAGAGACAGGAAATTAAATGTTCACATCTGTCTGCCTGTTAGCAAAATATCTTGTGACCCACTAGATGTATTTTAATGAAACTCTCATAGAAGAATCTCTGGGTGTACATCTGCTAAAGCTTTTTATTAATTTTACGGCCTTTTAACTTGTGTTGTTTTGTATGTATGAGCCAAATGTCAAAGATAAGTTTCCATCTCATGGAATGGTACGGACAATAAAGTTGAATTGATTGATTGGTTGATTGATTGATTGACTGACAGACTGATACTAAGGTAAAATTGGGCATGGTAGTAGTTGAGAGTCATCCCCAAAACAAACTCTGAGTGCTAACTGGCTGTTAGACTCATGAATCTCTAACTAGAATAATCACTGTGAAAAACCATATCATGTTGCTGCTGATCTGTTTCATGTTGCTGCTGATCTGTTTCAATGTTGATGTGTTCATGCGTGCACATCTGCTCACAGACTCATGTTCATGTTTGTGGTGATGTTCAATGTTTTATGTTATGAGTGCTTAGTGTATATTTAGTTGATGTTTTTCTTAGTTCATATCTTAGATGTTATTACTGTTTTTCTTATACATTTTATTGTTGGATGTAACTGGGACCCTGTGTACATAATTTCGCTCCACCACATGTACCACATGAGGTGCGAATGACAATAAAGAAACTCTGACTCTGACTCTGACTCTGACTCTCTAACTGAGCTTTATTCAAAAAATTGATAATATAAAGGACAACTTTTACTTTTTTAAGGCCTCAGTTTTTCACGACTTTCGGTCTGGGGGACTTTTGTGGTGAGAGCTATAATAAAAAGTCAGCAAGAGAAAACACACAGTCACTTTACAGCTAAAACAAATGGATTAAAAAAATAGAACAAGGAGATTATCTGTGGAATATTTTAAAAGTTTAAAGTTTTGTTATTTTTACCTTTCAGGCCTCCAGCGAGTCAAAGTGCACACGAGTCGTTTGGCGGGATGGGAGGCCACAACGACGCCCACGATGACTCGTACGGAGAAAACTCGCAGGACAGCACCCTCATGATGCGAGAGGTGAGACACATGACCTTTGACCTTTGCTGCCGAAACTGAAAATCACTACAAAGCTGGACATCCAGAGGTTCTGTTCTGATTTGAACTGGATTAAAAAAATTGGGTTTTCCTATAGTGATTATGCACGCTTAAAATATATTCAATCAACTACAAATACAGCTGGTTATTTATCGTAGTTTTCGTATAATTTTTATTTAATAACAGTTTGACGTGAACTCTTCAAGTGCTTAATTATCTGGCTGTTGTGTCAGTACTTAAAAATTTATGACCATTTTCAATTAGAGCAGTTTTTTGTTTTTATCCAAACAAGTCTGCTCTGTGTTTGTATTTATAATGCTATTAAAATTTAACTTGTGTGACGAATTGGCTTTAAATTGTTTTAACTAAAATAAAATAAAACATAAGAAAAGAAACATAAACATAAACATTAAATTATTAAAATACATGTATTTTTGATTAAAGACAAAAAACTGAAGATGTTTGATTTTAAGCACAAATATGAGCACAAGATGATTTTTAATTTACAACATTTCCACCACCTGCCAGTGCTTCTCTGATCACCAGACCTGTCAGTCAAAGCCTCATTGCTCAGTAGCCACGCCCCTTCTCTTCTACTTCCAGAGGCATAGGGGACGAAGGCGGAGCTCTGCTGCCAGCAACGGTTTCCCTGGCAACGCTAATCTGTTTCTCGGCAACACCAATCTCCCAGATTTGGTGCAACAGAGCCCCTCCCCTCTGGCCTCACCTGGGGATGCCTCTGGGGCCCAAGTAGGTGGAGAAACTGGTCCCCCAAAAACCTCCAAACCCACCCCCACCTGCCTTGCCTGACCCTGACGACCCGTTACCCTGACTCCTCCTCCTCTCCTCACTCTACCATCTGACCACAAACCCCGCCTCCCCATGCCGTTTGAAGCGCTTTTAAGAAAATTAAAAAAATAGTAAAAAGCTATTAACAGTAAATAAAAAATGGAATTTAGGAAAAACAAACTCAACATTAACTTATTTACTTTAAATCCAGCATACTTACTCTGAGCTGTTTATTTTATTAACCTGCTGCCATAAATAGCAGGTGGTCATGTAATTGTCTGTGTTTCTTTGTGTGGTTCTTTGTCTGTTAGCAAAATATCTGTTAGCAAAACGTTATCAAATGTGTCCATGACTCGGTCAGTCTTTAAGATATTGAGCTCAAATTTAATGTGAAAAGTTTAAAACAAAGATTCTTGATCCGTTTACTCTCACAGTATGTGTTGGGGATGACTTTCAGCTACTACCACACTAAATGTTAGTTCATTATCTGTAAGTTTGACTAAGTTATAATCTTTTTTTTTTTTAATTGGCTGAGTTCATTTAGTTGTGGCAATCTTCTTAAGACCAGGAAGCCAACAAATAGGTCATTTCTTTACAGGCTGGTGTTTATCTACAACAGTCATTGTAAGAGAGGCGGGGGACACCCTGGACAGGTCTCCAGTCCATCACAGGGACACACAGAGACAAACGAGACAAACAACTTTTCACTCTCTCACTCACAGTTACCAATGCAAGGTTTTGGTCTGTGGGAAGAAACCGGAGTACTCGAAAAACACTCACTCCACACAGAAAGTCCAGGAGTCAAACCTGCGAGCTTCTCACTGTGAGGCGAGTGCGCTAACCACTGCGCTGCCATGTTACCCAGCAAACACAGACACAGGCAATTACATGTTTGCCCGCTTTTCATCCTTTCCTCTTTGACTGCCCCGCCTTGGCTCCAGCATACTTCCTTCTGTTTTTGCATATTTTTTTTTCTGTTTTCCAGCCTCTGGTCCAGGAAGTACTCTCCACCTTGCGCTTGACTAAATGATACAGGAAGAAAATATAGGAAACACTGATAAGGACAACAGTTCAAGTCCAGAGGCCTTTAACAATATATATTTACCCAACTAATATGTGTTTCCTTTATTTTGACGCCTGTTTCATCCAGCCTAACAAATCATAAAACAAATAGCGTGACCGTTGTTGCATTTCTGTTTTCTACAGTTTGGGATGGGAGGCAGCGGAGGTTCCAAAGCTTCCTTCACTCCATTTGTTGATCCGAGGGTGTACGCGACTTCCCCGACTGATGAGGACGATAAAAGCACGGCCGCAGGTATGACTGGGTCCAGTCTTGGTTATTGAGACCCACACGTCCATTTCTTTCTGAAACCGTGACGTTTTGGTTTGCTTGTTGTTCCACAGCGCTGTTTGCTGATGAGCTCCTGAAACAGGAGCAGGAGCAGGCGAGGCTCAACGAGGCCCGGAAGATCTCCGTGGTCAACGTGAACCCGACCAACATCCGCCCGCACAGCGACACGCCCGAGATTCGAAAGTACAAGAAGCGCTTCAACTCTGAGATCCTCTGTGCGGCTCTCTGGGGTGAGAGGACTCAAAACAACAATCTGACAGGAACCCGAGTCGCTGTGTGTTTCCAGGAAACAAAAGTTTTGTGTTTGCAGGAGTGAACCTGCTGGTGGGGACGGAGAACGGCCTGATGCTACTGGACCGAAGCGGCCAAGGCAAAGTTTATAACCTGATTAATCGAAGGCGCTTCCAACAGATGGATGTCCTGGAGGGCCTCAATGTCCTGGTCACCATCTCAGGTCGATAAACCCCTGATTTCCTCGTATTTATTCTTAAAGTGAAGTCATAGCAAAATGTCTCGTGAACTAGTTGACTTTATTGAAACGTTCAGAAAGTAATCCTTAAACGAACAGCTTGAGCAGCGGGGGTTGAGGCATGACTTTCCACAGCCACCTCTTCCAGCTCTTCTGGGAAGATGCCAAGGTGTTCCCAGACCAGCCGACAGACATCGTCTCTCCAGTGTGCCCTGGATCTTCCTGGGGTGTCCTCCCATCGAAATGCCTGTAAAACCACCAGAGGGAGAGAGAGGGCATTCTTACCAGATGTCTGCACCGCCTCAATTGACTCCTTTTGATGTGGAGGAGCAGCGGCTCTAGAGTTGAGTCGAAAGGCAAACTTTCCTGGTCTGTCTATGTTCCACCCTTCACCTGTGGTCATGAGGTTTGGATTAGGACTGAAAGAACCAGATCCTGGATCCAAGCAGCTGATATGAGCTTCCTTCGTAGGGTGGTCAGGCTCGGACTAGAGAGAGGGTGAATAGCTCCATCATCCAGGTGGGGAGCTCAGACTGGAGCTGCTGCTCCTCTGAATCTATAGAAGTCAGCTGAAGTGGTTCATCTGATCAGGATGCCTCCAGCACACATTTCCTTTTGGAGGTTTATTCCCACAGGAGGAACTCGTTGAGGAATTATACATCCTCTCTGGTCTTGGAACACCTTCAGACTTTGGAGTTTTTAAATCAACACCTGACTCTTACAATGTATTTGAATGTTCTCAGTAAATGTTGTTTTTAATATTTTTTTTTCTCCTGCATTTTTGCATCAGGGAAGAAGAACAAGCTGCGCGTTTACTACCTGTCTTGGCTGAGGAACAGGATTTTACACAACGACCCAGAAGTGGAGAAGAAGCAGGGATGGATCACAGTCGGCGACTTGGAGGGCTGTGTACACTACAAAGTCGGTATGTTGTCAACCTTTTAAAACAATGCATTTTTCACATTTTAATTACAGAAAATTGACAGAATGAGCCTGTTTTTAGCTAATTTTTGCTTCAGCTTTAACTTATTTTTGTGTTTTTCTGCAGTGAAATACGAGAGGATTAAATTCTTGGTGATCGCTTTAAAAAACGCTGTTGAAATCTACGCTTGGGCACCTAAACCTTATCACAAGTTTATGGCCTTTAAGGTAACAGAACACTTTGGGTTTTTAAATACAGACATATTTGTATTAAAGAGCATAAATCTAACAAGTCAAGCGAGGATTCATGGAATAAATGTGAGGAAAGTGATAATTTATTAAAGTTTGTGTTTTGTGTCAGAATCAGCTGTTACTCTAAAAGCATATTTAATTAAATATACAAACTTGTAGAAAAACAACTAGACGACTGCAGAGTATCTTTTGAAGTTATATTTTTTTCAAAGTATAACTAGAAAACTGTATATAGTAATGTACCTCTGACTTCTTTCTCAAACCCAGTCAATTATAAACAAACCTAAAACTAGAAAAAGAAGAATTCATCAAATTATTTAAAATGTTTTTTTTTAGTGTCTTGAAATTGTTTTAAATCTCAAGTTATCAATTTCATTCCGTTATTTCTAAGTAGATTTGAATGAAAATATTTGTGATAACAAAAAAAATCTGTTAACGCTGATTTGATACATGTTTAGAAAGTTGATATTTTTACATAAATAAACATTAATGAAAACAAACAAAAAAATAGAACAATTCATATTACATTGTTGATCAAAACCATTTTTTTTTATTTTAAGACAAATTGGACTCAAACATCATGTCTAATTAAATAACTGAATTCTGCTAACATTTTAGCTCTAAGGAAATTAAAAACAACAGTTTTACAAACTTCTTCGTTATTATCCGGACGTCTTTTTTTGAACGCCATTTTCTTTGCTCAATTTTAGCATAAAATATTTTAAAAGAGCTAAAGTTTGCTGGCTGGACCACAACATTTTATGGTAATCATCTTTTTCCACCAGTCTTTCACAGATTTGCAGCATCGCCCCCAGCTGGTAGACCTGACCGTGGAGGAAGGCCAGAGGTTAAAGGTCATCTACGGCTCCAGTGTTGGTTTCCATGTCATTGATGTGGACTCTGGAAACACCTATGACATTTACATCCCTTCACATGTAAGACTGTGTTCATATGTGTGTGTTGGTGTTCTGGTAAAGATGCATTGTGGGGACTTATATTTATCCCTTGTCTTATGGGGACCTTTTAATTGTGAGGCCATCTTAACAATGCAACTAATTAAACATTAGCGCAAAAACCTAAAAGACGTGAAAAGTCTTTAATATCCAGACACCCCCCCATGTGTGTTTATGTATGTTCTGGTAAATCTGTTTTGAGTGGACCCATTATTATTAGGATCCTTATAGGGACCCTCTATATTATAAGCACCAGTTTTCATTATGTAAATAATTAAACATTTAGTACAAGACTTGCTGTAATTTGTGTTAAGGCCAGAGAATGAATATGAATTTGCGTGATAAAATGAGTGAGTTTTTACGTAGGGAAGAACCATTAAAAGTAAATGAATGATTTTGCAAATGAAAAAGGCTCTAAATAATTCATTAAGAATAGAAAAGAGAACAAAATAACCACATTTTTAAGCTAGTGTAAAGGTTGTATAAAAGTTATAAATAAATAAAATGAAAGGATGGGGTCAAACAATGTGTATGATGAGGTGAATTAATCTGTTAGTGAATTAATTAAAATAATGTAGTCATCGTGTAAGTGAATTAACTGGATGAATAAATTGTTAATTAAAGCTTGAATAAGTGATTAGTGATAAGTGATGAGTGAAGTGATGGAACAGAGGATCCAGTGTCTTCCTCTAACCCGGGTTCGGTTAGAGTCAGGGATGGATGGGGCAAAGGAGGTGGTCACCGTGGCAACCGCCTCTCTTTGCTTCTGGCAGCCATGAATCAGCCTATGCTCATGTGTTTCCATGGTGACTGCGTGGCCGAGGAGCGGGAAGTTTTATTGTTGCAGCAGTTTCCTCTCTATCTCGGGAGATGGACCCAGCAGGCCCCACCTACTCATGCCCCATCCTGTGTGTGCTTCATTTGCAGATCCAGGGTCAGGTGACCCCGCACGCCATTGTGGTCCTTCCTAAGACGGACGGCATGGAGATGCTGCTATGCTACGAGGACGAAGGTGTCTACGTCAACACCTACGGGCGCATCACCAAAGACGTGGTGCTGCAGTGGGGCGAGATGCCTACCTCCGTTGGTACGTAGGTCAACTAGGTGGACCCCTGACCTTTGAAAGGGGCTTCTAGTGGACATCATTCACCCTGATTATCATTGTAACTCATATTTAAACCAAGTTGTCTAATTTTTGTTTTATTTATGAGAAGCAAAGCTTGTGAGTGAGAAACTGGTTCCAGTTTTCTACAGGATCTTAGAGGTTCAGGGTCAGCCACGAGCTGATGGTTAGATTGGAACTGATTTGAGTCAGTGGGAACACTTCTGATCTGGAGCATACAGGTGTTAACACAGTGCCAAGATGGAAATACATCAGCACTGATGTCATAGAAGCAGCTGTTGCTGCCCATCAATTGGGGAAGGGTCAAAGGTCAATTCCAAACTACCTCAAATCCATTATTCTACAGAGAAAAATATTATTCACAAGTGGAAAACATTTATGACAGCTCCAAGAAAATTCACCCTGAAGGTCAGCCCATGCAATGAGCTCCATCTCAGACTCAATAGGCCTCAGTCAGCAGGTCAAAGGTCATCACCTCGTCTCTAACAACATGGCAGCACAGCTTAGATTTAAAAATTTCATCTGAAGGAACCACACGACTTCTGGAACAGAAACAAACCAAATGACAGATGTTTACCCAGAACGCACTGCAGCAAACAGCTCATCCCAGCTGTCAACACAGTGGTGGAGGGCTGATGGTTTGAGCTCCTGTCAGTCACTGAGTGGACCATGAACTCCACTGTAGACCAAAGGGTACTGGATCTAAATGTGAGTCAATTTGTCCAACAGCTGAAGCTTGAACCAAACTGGGTCCAACAGGACCATGATCCCTAACACAGCAGCTGATCTACAGCAGAACAGGTCAGAAATAGAAGAACCAATGGTCCAGTCAGAGTCCAGAACCTCATCTTGACTGAAATGCTGTGGTGGGACCTTCAAAGAGCTGAAACGAAGCAACGATGGAAAGAAAATGGGCGAAAAGTCCTCCACAACCATGAGAGAGAAAAACAGAAAACCACTGAGAGTTATTACTGAAGGAAGTTCCACAAGGTGAACCAGAACTGGTTTGTTCCAGGATCAGGAACTGGAACCAGTTTTTCAGGTGCTCTTATCTGAGTTCCTGCAGTCGTGTGAAAGGTTGAAAGCTTCCACCCTAGATATTAATTTACATTTTTAAAATACCAGCCATCTATTCTCAACGTGTTCTGTCAGAACAGGAGTCTTTGAGTCCAGAAGATCTCAGTAGAACGTCCAGGGTTCTTCATGTTTAGGCCATTAAGAATAAACTGGTACAAAACTACTAAAAAGAAAAAACACCAGTCTGATTGGGACCATGCAATCCCATTAGTCGATCCAGTTTTCCCACAGCTCTAAAAGGTTCTGCCCTAACTCTGATGTTCTGATCAGAAACCTCTGAGAAGGAGGCATCCTCGAGTTCCACCCCGCCATGGTTTTGTGTGTTTTATCGGCGTGTGCTCTTCTGTCCCTGCAGCCTACATCCACTCCAATCAGATCATGGGTTGGGGAGAGAAGGCCATCGAGATCCGCTCCGTGGAGACGGGACACCTGGACGGGGTCTTCATGCACAAGAGAGCCCAGAGACTGAAGTTCCTGACGGAGAGGAACGATAAGGTGAGTCTGGAACCTTCTTCTCAACGTTTCCAGGTGTTCGTGGTTCTATCTTCTTCCTGCAGAAGTAAGGGTCTAATGCAATTCGATGTTTTTGAAAACCGGACGAGTTCTCACAAATTTGTGTTTTACAAATATTAAAAAACGTAACTAAATTGGAATATTTGAAAAAAACTAAATAATTTAACTGAACTTTAGCTAACTGGAACTAAATGAAGAAAATGTAATTATTTATAAGACTGGACTTCAGTTAGATCGGACTAGAACCATGACTTAACCGTAATGGACCATAATTAGGCTGTTTTGGACCACAACTGGAGGGTTTTGAGACATATTTGGAGTGAACTGAACCAACTTTGGACAGTACTTGACCATTACAGATCCTGTATGACCAGTGAAATAAAACTAGATCATGCTGAACCAAAATTAGGCTGTATTGGACCATATTTTGATTATTTCGTACATTTAGAGTGAATTGTAAGATATTTTTATTGTACTGGACCAAATTTAGACTTTACTGGACTGGGGTACCTCAGGGCAGTGTAAGTTCACCAGTCCTGTTCACTTTCTACACAAACGACTGTACTAACAATCTTCCAGGCAATCTGGTTTGTAAATTTTCTGACGACACTGCTATTCTCAGTCTGCTTCACCAGAACTCGGATCTATCTCTGTACTTTGCAGAGGTAAGCACATTTGTTGAGTGGTGTGATAAGAATTATCTCACCATTAACATTAAAAAACAGAGGAGATGGCATTTGACCCTCGGGCAGTGAGGGATCATATCCCACTGTCCATCCACAAGGAGGAGATAAATTAGGTCACTTCTTATAAGTATCTGGGTATTCACCTGGATAACCTCTTGAACTGGAGTGACCATGTTGATCATGTATGCTCCCGGTTACAGCAAAGGCTGTTTTTTCTTCATATATTGAAGATGTTTGGTGTCAGTCAGAACATGTTTTTATTTTACCAGGCAGTGATGGGAGAGCGTTATCAGGTATGGGATGACAGCGTGGTTCGGCAATCTCTCCATTCAGTCTAAATCTAAGTTGCAGCGCCAAGTACAGACTGCTATGAAGGTGTTGGGGAGGACCGCAAAGCTCTCCCTGCAGTCCATCTATGAGCAGTCTGTACTTAGGCAGGCACGGAGGGTATTGTTGGATCCATCCCACGTCCTGTATGTGGAATATGAGCTCTTGCCTTCCAGTAGAAGGTATAAGGTCCCAAAAGCTAAACTGAACCATTTTAAATATTCTTTTGTGCCCACCTCCATCAAAATTTTGAATCAAAATTTTAAATAGATAATATATTGAGGCCTGGAAGGTGTGCAAGAATGTTGGTGTTCTCTGTTGTTGTTTTTGTAAACTATTGTGTTTGTACTCTTCATTAGCTTATCATTATTTTTATAATTTAGCTGTTTATATTAATTGTTTTTTGTATGAACTGTGTATTTACTGACTGTTTGGGCAGCTGCTATTATGCTATATACACCCCTGAGTCCATGACAAATTTCTCCTAGGGAACAATAAAGTATATTCTATTCAATTCAATTCAATTCTGTTCTATTCTGTTCTGTTCTATAACTGAACTGAACTCTGACTCCATAATGGGATTAAATAAATCTCAAAGTTATAAACCCTCTCAGTCTGACCTCTGTCCTGACCCTGTCCTCTGCAGGTTTTCTTCGCCTCGGTTCGGTCCGGAGGCAGCAGTCAAGTTTTCTTCATGACCCTGAACAGAAGCTCCATGATGAACTGGTAACCCGGAACCTCCTTCGACCCACAATCCTCCTCTTCGTCTTCGCCCTCGAGCTGCGACGGCAGGGATGGAGGGCCGACTGGAGGACAATCTTTGTGTGTGTTTATGTTTGTGTGTGCTCGTGGATGACAACACGCTGCTGACTGGACTGGTCCGGAACGGACCCGAGGAGGAGTTTAACCACAGGACGGCGCCCCTGCTTGGAGACCCCGGAGCTGTAGGGGGCGCTGCGGGTCCTGTGGTCAGTGTCGCTGCCTGCAGAGCGCCACACGACGCCTTCACCTCGCCTGAGGACTGCTGGACTGAACTGTGGGTGGATCTGGAGCCTTTAAAGGCCCCTGTGTGGTCCAGAGGGGACGATCTTTGTGTAGCACATCAGAGACCTGAGTCCAGCTGCAGCCAGTCCTCCCACCGTCGTAGTGAATAAGCAAAGTAGCATTAGACAGAAAACACACTCAAGGCTGAATCTCACATTAAGTGCACAAGTTTTTAAGTTCACATTCATCCCAGAAGGTGTGTGTCGCTTTGCTGACTTTTATTTTGTTAGATTAGGTCTGCTGAGGATAAAAATAAGTCCTTATTTCAGTTTTTTTTATCTCAGAGGCAACAAATGATGCTGAATAAGTTTGGACTGGATGAAAAGTGACAATCGTGAGAGGAAATCTGTCTGAGTCCACATCAGAGGTCAGAGTGCACACACCCAAACTCTCATTGACCCCCCCATTGTGTCTGAGCTTCACAACGAAAAGTGAAGGCCCTATTTTAACTTCTTAAACAAAACACTGCTGATGTAATAACTCACGAGTGATAACCAGAGGATTCTGTCACTTATATCATAGGACATTTGGAAAAAATAGAAAAAAAAAGAAATAATCGTTGCTTAAGACATGTTCTTTAAGCTCATTGTGACTTTCAATGGTTTTTTTTTTGTCTGATGTAGCAAAAATACAACTGGTGTTTTGTTATTTTGTTCTTTACGAGGCAGAAATCCATGAGCTGGAGCGACGAGCGGTTTTGTCTCCGGCCTCGGAGCTGCCGTTTGCTCGCAGCGTGATCGCTCATTTCAAATGCTGCTAAAACATCTTCCATCCCCGAAACGACCCTTCAAACACAAACCTCAGAAGGTTTTCCTTCAGTTCTCCATATTTTTTTCCTCTTTCGGCTCTTCTTGGTGTGCTGCACTCATGTAAATACTCTCACTGAAGTCTGGGGCGGGATTTTACCGTTCATTTCATGCCTCTTTGAATTTGTCAGACGTGTAGCTTCGAGCTGAATCTGCAGGAGTTCCTTCGGAGCCATCTTCACTCGTCACGAACTGCAAATCTGTGGCAATAAAAACAGTGAAACACTGAACAAAACAACCGTAGGATCTTGTTTTTAATCTCTAAAAATAATAGTAAAGATTGTACGCTGGAGAATTTTATGGTACGGTAGTTTAGCGGTGTGAAAGCTGAGCAGGACCCTCCGATGGATGTTAACGCTGGTGTTTGTGAGAAACTGGTTCATCTTCAACCTGATTTGTTTTTGTTGCTGTCTGATGGTTTTCAAGCGTGTGGTTCATGCAAACAGGAGGCGTTTTTGAGGCCCTGCGAGGCCTTTAAAATGTTCGGGATGAATAAAAACGACTGGCGCAACAATAGATTAAAAGATATTTATACGTAATAATTTTCATTATATCTTACTGATCATTTTAGAGGATGAGAATAATGATCACTTATTAAAGTTTAGTTGTCTTTCTACAGATAGAGAACATAGATATACTGTAAGAATTTCTAAAAAAAAAAAAAATACAATGTTTTTATTGTGGTATTATTTGTATTTCAATTTTTGTATCAGACTGTGAACGACCGTGTGTGAGCGCGCGCGTGTGTGTGTGCGCGCAGGTGTGTGAAATGCATGTGAGCGTATGTTTTCACCCCCACCCCCAGCCTGAATCACTGGAATCAGTCCAAAAAGACAACCTCGGTTTGGAAACTCACGTCTGTGATGTTAGGAAATCAATAAATGTCCTCTCCTTGTACAGCAACAACATCTGCTTTTCTTTCTTAAACTTAGATTTATTTTGGGCCTTTAAAGGAATCTCCGACTACTTACACATGTTGACCTTAATAGTGGTGGTGCAGAGGTTAGAGAAGATGGGCCTGTGATCGGAAGGTCGCCGGTTCAACCCCCCAGACTGAAAACATTAAAATGTGGGTGGGAAAAGTAAAACACCCACACCTGCCTCCACCCTCATTTGCTCCACTCGGGGCCCTTGAGCAAAGCCCTTAACCCCTACCATCTGCCCCCAAAAACAGGTCTCTCTTGAAAACGAGTCCTCATGACTCAATGAGACTACCTGTATAAATAAAGGTTAAATAAATAAATAAAAAAGCTCTGGAGCAAACATTATATGGATTAGCTCTGAAGCTAATGTCAAATATATATTGGGTCTGTAGCTAACATCATATCTATTAGTTTTGGAGCTAACGCCATATTAGCTGTAGAGCTAACGCCATAGAATAGCTCTGGAGCTGACGCCATTACAGTAGTCCCTCGTTTATTGCAGGTGTTAGGGACCAGGCCCAAGTGAAGTGAAAAACCGTGAAGTAAGGATACATTAGTACAAGTTCATTAAACTTTGTCATGACATGTGCCAGGCTGCAATCACACTCACTCATCTGTTACTCCCAATCGCCCTCCTTAAATAAACAATTTAAATACTGTAACATTTTAAATAAATAATCCATACAGCATGGATAGTTTATTTAAAATATTACAGTATTTAAATTGCAGAGAAGAGAAATGCTGCAGGTGGCAGAGGAGGAAATCAGCTGATCAGCTGCAGGAGGGAGTCTCCCCCTGCACTTGTGGGCTGCACACATGGTGCAAAATCATTTAAAATAATTTATTTTAAATAATCAACCCATTGCTCATCAGCCAATTGGGTCATGTCCAATCTTATTTTGAAAATCTGTGAAGTAGCGAGGGACTACTCTAGTTCTAGAGCTCAGCTAACATAATATATATTAGCTCCGGGGCTAATGTAATTAGCTTCAGAGTTAACTTAGCTTTGGCACTAATGTGAAAGCTGAGTTATTTCTCCATTCTCTTCTCTGTCAACACGCTCTGGTTCAAATTAAAGGGCTGAATGTCCGATACTGTCCAAAATTAACATTCAAGTTGAATAAGATAAGACCAGAGCTCTCGCCTGAGCACCTAGTCTACATCATTTACCTAGAATGCATTGCAGCGTAAATAAAAAGGTGACGTTTCATTCATTAAAAAAGTTTTAACAAAGCCTACAGTATTTTTACGATCTCATTTTTATAGCATAAGCAATTGCTTATCAAATAAGGTCAATTGTTCCAACTAGTCAGAGAACCTTTAAATGTTTATATTTGAATTTATATATTTAAACACAAAGATTAGATGCACATACTAAAATTTATTCCATACTTTCTCAAATGATTACACGAGGCGAGGGCATAAGAGATGTTCATATTAGTCAAAGTTTGGATATCACATCAACTTTTGAGTTTACCCTCCTGCTGCTCTTGGGTCAAAATGACCCAGGAGTCCTTGGTGTTAAGACCCCAGGGCAGCAGGAGGGTTAAAGTCTAGTATCTCACTGCACTGCAGCTAGTTGAAGACACAAACGTGCAAGAAAATGTATGCGTTTTCTCTTAAAAGTGCATCAAATTGGTATTTATGATGCGTACAAAACTGAATAAAATGCAACAATCCTGGAAAATACACATAAATTTATTTTGTATTAATTTATTGCACTGTGAGTTTTGACAGCTGGTTAGCGGCATAAAACTGAAAGAAAAGAGTCGTTTTCACTTCTGAATTGGTTACGTATGACAAGTTTAACTACATACATGCTTATATGTGTATTTTGTCCTATTTTAAGGCAGCATCTCACTGGTCTATGAACTTTGGAAACCAGTTGGCGATGCAAAGTTGAAGGAAAAAAAAACGTTTTGAACTCGAGAACCATAAAATGTAAGCCGAGACAAGTTGGAGATGCCTGCAACAACTCTGTGACCAAATGAGATCAAATGTGTTGCACAGATTTTTGAACATTTCTTCAACACGAGACGGGTGTTAAAACTTTGGCGAGAAAAACGACAACTCTCACAAACGTTTTGAAACATTTTGGAAATTTCTCCTCAAATTCTGCTCTTCAACAGAATCAGTTCAGTCAGATACCTGCCTAAAGCTCTTGAAGTGTGACATTTTATACTCCTGACCATGAAAAAAAGGTTCATCTTCCTGTTTCATATAAACATTTGTCACAAATATCCAGCCCGAGTATACATTAACACGATAAGATGAGAACTTTATTGATCGCGCTGGAAATTGTTGTGCCAGAGTTTCAATACAAATTATGCACAAGGAATTACACAACATATAAAAGTACTAGAGGATATAAAAATAACAGAGCGGTATAAAAATGCCAACAATTAAGGTCCAAAACAGGTCAGGTGCAGACAGAAACATTAAAGTGTTTATTTTGGTGCAGGATTAATTTAATTGTCCTATGTGTAGAATGGTGGAGGAGTTGAAAAGTTTGATATCCACAGGGAGGAAGGACTTCCTGTGTTGTTCTGTGGAGCACCTCGGTGGTCTCAGTCTACGACTGAAGGTGCTGCAGTGAGTCCAGTGTGTCATGCAGGGGGTGTGACGTGTTGTTCAGGATCTGGAGCAGTTTCCTCAGCATCCACTGCGCAGACACCTCTGTCAGAGACTGCAGTTCCACTCCCAGAACTGAGCCAGCTCTCTTGATGAACTTATTGAGTCTGTTGGCATCAGCTTTCTTCACCCTGCTACACCACAGCATAGAAGATGACGCCGGAGACCAAGCCTCTGTATTCAGCTTCCTGGTCACCAGTGATGCAGCCCACAATGGCAGAGTCAGCCGAGAACTTCTGCTGATGGCAGAATTGTGAGTTGTACCAAAATAATAAAACAGTTGATAAGTTTCATTGTCAAATGGTGGATTGGCAGTGTTTGTAAACTTATGTCAGTAATAAATAGTTCATGAGTCAATGTGGCTTTTATTTTAACAGTAGAAACCTGGAAAGTGTGGGAACCACCAACATTTGAGATAAGTTGGACTCAACCAACTCGCACGAAGACTTGGCAGTTGTCTTTTTATTATTATTATTATTATTATTATTATTATTATTTACACCATATGCCCTTCCTGACAACCACAGACCACCGAGTTGCCACAGCCCTCTATGTGGAGTATAGAGCTGCCATCTAGGGTTGACATAAAAATTAAATTATTTATTTATTTCATTGATTTATTTATTTTAAATTTTTGCTAAAAAATAAAGTCCAATCAGATTTAGCAATTAGTATTTGAATTCATAAAACTGACCTAAGTTTTTTTCGTTAGCTAAAACCGGTAAATTTGCGGTGGGTTGCCAGGTTTACTCAGAGCTGGCAACCCTTTCTGCCCGGCCGCCACCGGAAGTCACAAACGCCCCGCCCCTCCCTCCTTCCTCCACGGATGCTGCAGTGAAGTTGGCCGCGCGTGCGCACTCTCGGTCCTCTTTTTGCTCGGAAGGTAAGTGTGGCATGGCGCGTGTTTCTTCCTTCGGGGGAAATAAATAGAGAACTTTAGCGGGTTTTTCCGCAGAGCTCGGTGCGGATTCCGAGGCAGTAAAGTAGTCGGGTACCGGTCGGCGAAGCCGTCGAAGTAGTTCTGTAGGGGGGAGGGGGTTTCTCGGTGCGGAGTTGTTCGGTGGCGGGGCAGGGTGTGGGTGACCAGGCTGAATCAAAGAGACATGCGGCCTTCAGCGGCAGCGCGCTCTGCTTCGGCGGCGATGGCGGACTCGCAGTCGTTTCATCCGCTGCCAGTCGCTGGAAAAGTTCTGCTCCCGAGCGGAAGTGAACGCTGTCGCGCCAGCTGTTGTCGAGCACGGCGTCCATTTGAGCCTCTATTTGGCTAATCGGGAATGCTAGCCACTTTAGCCGCTGCTAGCATTTGCATAGCAGCCCCTGGATAACGGTAGGCGCTACTTGCGGCAGCTGCAGCGCATGTTGGGCTTTTTCTGCACCTCCAAACGTTAAAGCTGCATCCCGTTCAGGTTCAAGTTATTCAGTGACTTACTTTTATTTAAACAAATGGGACAAGTTCCAGTTCGGTTACTTTTACCATTATTTTTAATTGTAAACTAAAAGGCCAAGCTAGCCAACTTGTGTAAAGCTTAATTTACACTCGGTAATTTGCTCTTAAATGGCAAACAGCTCGTTTGTTTTATTTAAACCTTTATTTGCTGCTGAAACTGTTGATTTGTGCTCGTGAAGCTAAAATTAGCCCGCTGGATGAGACAGCATTATAGCCTCGTGTTTAGCCGGTTAGCTCCGCGCTAACACGTTTCTGACCCGCCGCCTCTTGTTTATTCACATTTAAATGACTTTTCGGGGTAAAGCAAAACGCCTAAACATCATTTAAATAAATATTTATGTTAAAATGTTAAACTGGTTGTGGAGTGGTGTGAAATTGGCACGGCTGGAAAACTCATTAAGCTTAAAACTTGTGAAGCTTAAGTTTAAACTTCTAATTTAAGGGCTTTAAAGTCTTGAATTGGGACTACAAATGGCTTTAAAGCTAATACAGCAAACTTGTTTTTTAGCTTTAATGTAAAACTATAAAATATTTGGCTTTAAGACACTGGATCATAAAATTGCAACAATGAATCTCTTGTTTAAATATTTTGTTTTCCCCATATTTTACCATGGATTTAATAAAAATAATCTACAAAATGTGCAGAGACGTGTCAGGGAATCGTTCAGACTTTATATATGCAATAAAAACTTAAGATGTATCCATTCAAACGTGAGACATTACATGTATTTATGCAGTTTTTCTGAGCGATTTGCATGCAGTTAATAAAGTTGCAGCCTAAACTGTTAAGCTTTAGGACAACTAGACTTTTTAAAGTGGGTATTTTACTCAATTTAACAACGTTAAAAGCATCTTTTGGACTTCATAGCGACACAGTTTCACGACTGAAGTGTCTTAACGGGGCCTCTGGTTGTCTCTGCAGCGCCTCAGACCCATCGCACCATGGCAGATCCCGATCTTGACTTCACGACTGGTGAGTCTGGCGCCTCCGCCACGTACCCCATGCAGTGCTCTGCTCTGCGCAAGAACGGCTACGTGGTGCTGAAGGGACGTCCCTGCAAAATCGTGGAGATGTCCACCTCCAAGACCGGCAAGCACGGACATGCTAAGGTACCGTTGGCCCGTTTGGACAGCGCTGACTCGGAGATTTGATTGCAGGACGTTTACGTCTGTGAAAAGAAGTGGGTCGTTAAAAATCACGCCAAGCTGTCTGAACTGAAACAAACTTTTCGGAAAATAAAATGCTGTTTAAACCATTTATCAAATATTGGGCATATGGTATAGTGCAAAAGTCTTCAACCAGCCCTGATTTGCCTCTAAAATACATTTTGAATAAAAGACTCAAACTTACAGGTTTTATTGCCAAAATATCTTAAAATAACTTTGCAAAACTTGAACATTTGCTGTATGTTGCAACTAGTGAGCTACTTTTGTTAAACTAAATTGGAGCATGATTTCACTAATAAGTCCTTTAAGATCATTTGAACTGTGCAATGGACGACGCATCAGTTCAACAAAAAGTACTTTAATCTTTTTAATGTTAGTATTTGGGTGTTTAAAAAGGTTGTAAATAATTTAGTCTCTTTTATAGGAACCTCGTGTGTTTTACCCTCATAAAAGATTTGGCTACGTTTAAATAAAATCCACTTTTCCGTTTAGACGTTTGCGTTGTGACCGTTCCTCGCCTGTTTTAACAAACATTGCATCAGTGATTGGCAGCGCCGCCTGTCAGTTCTGGTGAAACGCTCACGGTGGATGTGCTGCTCTGGTTCCTGCAGGTTAACCTGGTTGGTATCGACATCTTCAACAACAAGAAGTATGAAGACATGTGCCCCTCCACCCACAACATGGATGTTCCCTCCATCAAGAGGACAGACTATCAGGTACACAAACTTCAATTTGACCCGGTTAGACAGGTTAACAAGACCGTCGCTTTAATTGGCCTCTGACGTTGAGCTGCAGGGAAAGTGTTCAGACATTTAAAGTTTTTGTCTTTAATTTTGCAGATATTTGTGTTGAACTGAGCTCTGTGATCATCAGTTGGTGATGCACAATATAAATTACATCATTATGATCAAAAAGTGGGTTTCTAGGAAATCTTAGTTTTTTATCATTGGAGCTGTGAAAGCTAATTTAGCTGTTAAGGGTGGGGGAAGCACCACAGTATCAAACTGTTAAAATAAATAGTTTAAAACCTGCGATCAGCTCCACCTGGCTCCTTGAAGGTCCGCTTCACCCACGAGGAGTTTTCTTAACGAATGAAATCAGAGTGTCGGCACTCCGTCTCATTCCAGATCTATTTTTATCTTTTCGGGCTGCTGCGTCTCAGGTTAGCATCTTTAGCTCCAATGTAGCTCGAAGCAGGCGACGCCCGGAGCAAGCGCTGGTTGTTTAGTTGAGGTCAGTTAATTCATGCGTCTGTGCACAATTTAACACGAAACTGGACATTGGTTATTATACTGGAGGAGCTTCAACGTCCGTAAGGATGGTTTATGTTAAGAAGTTTCACATTGTTTATTGAGGTGAACAAAGATGTTTATGACAGAATCTGCAGCCGGTGGCTTTTTAACAGTAACATGGGATTATATTTAATCAGAACCAGATTATAAAGTTTAAGCTGTTTTATGCTGATAAAAGGATATTTCTGATAAAGAAGCATCAAAATTTAATCGGTTTGTGCTAAAAGTTAACTTGCAGCTACGCTAAGATTTATTTTCTCTAAAATTCAAGAGTTAAACATTTTAAGTTGTTGAGGTGGAAAACTAAATGCGTCTGTCGTCGATATGAAAATTGTAGTTTTAAGTTGCACGATTTGCTTTTTTAAGGTTTTAGAAAGCTAGTTCAGATGAACTAAACGTCCACTTGTCCATTGTTCCTGATAAAGAACAAGATAAACAATTAAGTTTTTTTTTTTTTAATAACTTATTTACTGGTTGTTTTTTGTATTTGTTTTTGTAGCGATTGAGTTTTGAGCACAATCTGCGGCTCCGTTTTAATTTAGAGATATTAAAAAAAAAAATCAGATTCCTGTTCTCAGGTCGTCTCTGGTCTTAAATTAGTTTTCTGCAGTTTTTATACTGAAGTGTTGTAAATAATTACTTTTAAGATGTTGACGTAACAATTCTGCATTTAGAAAATTAACTTTCTTTTTTGCTGTTTTTAATCTGAAACGTTCAGAATTATTTTTTACTTTATATGCAAGTTGCCCCTCCTCATAAATGAAATGATTTCAAATGTTTTTGAAAACATTCTTTAGTCTGTTTTAAGCCAGTGGCTTTAAATTAGCTTTTAGCTGCTCGTTTGTCTTCTTCTGCTCATGTTTCAGATTTATTTCTTAATAAAATAAAGCAGACAAACTGCATTTTCTGTTGGAATCGCATTGTTCTGACCCTCTTGTTGTTGGCAGAGTAACCTCTGTGTATAAAATGCGGTTTGTTTGAGTAAAAACGTGTTTTGTTTTTGTTTGTGGCGTGTTCAGCTGGTTAACATCAACGAGAACTACATGGCCTTGATGAGCGACAACGGAGAAATCAGAGAGGACCTGCGCGTCCCCGAGAGCGAAGTTGGAAAGGAAATCGAGGCGAAGTTTGAGGCCAACGAAGATTTCATGGTGAGTTTAAACGTGGGTCTGAATCGGATGGGACCCGGGTCCAGATCCGGAGCAGAACCTCCCTCCCCGGTGCCGACGGGAGTCGGGTTTCAGATGATTGACTTGAACACGTTGCGCTCGCTCTCCGCAGGTCACCGTGATTTCTGCCATGGGGGAGGAATGTGCCGTCGCCACCAAGGTCTTGGCCAACAAATGAGGGAGATGGACTTTGCTGCCCAGGCAACAAGCCCCGCCCACAAACCAGTCTCTTACATTCTCATTGGTTCAGTCACCAAAGCGCCGGCCTTCAGACAAACATGGAGTCATTCTGTTGTGATTTCTCGCATCGATGTTTTAATTTCTCCCTCTCCCTCCCCCCTCTCTCTCTCTCTCTCATCCTCATTTCTCCTTTCCGTTGCTGTTTGGGAATGTTCCACCTCTGCCTGATCAGAGTTTTTGTTTAAAACAATCGACTTTATATAAAAACGACTTCAAAAACACCTGCTCATTCCTGCTCACTTTGATTTTGTTTTTGTTTTCCTTCAGTGTTTCGCCGCTCACATTCCTGAATGTTTAGAGAAAAAAAACAGAAAACAGTCCGGGGTTCAGCTTTTGTATGATTATTTTTTTATATTCTTTAGATAGCAGCCTTGTAGAGGGAAGGGGTTCGGGGTGGGGGGGCTGTAGATACTGATTCTGGTTTTGGTCGTCCCTCTTCGCAGCCATACAGCTTCCCAGCATGGCCTTCTCTCTGGTTCCTGGTCTGGTTTTTCCTCCTAAATCACTTGGATTGGTGGTGGCTAGCACTCAAAGCACCTGAGGTCCCCCCACCCCCCTGCTCCCATTAAGCATGAAAAGCTCAAACTGAGATAAGAGAAATTTGGTTTTTCCTCCTTTTCCTACAAGAACAGAAATTCAGAGGGTTCTTCTCGTCTGTTGAGACAGTCTGGTCCCCCCCACTCCCCCCAAACAGTGTTATATTTTGTTTTCAGAGGCGTTTGTGGCGGGTGTGGGCCTCCGACATGTGCGAGGGCAGTTTGCAGTGAGGTGTGTGCTCTCTTTAATTTCTTTTTCTCTGTGAGGGGCTCTTTGGGGGTGGGGGGGTTCAGTTAAACTTTCTGTTCACTCGAGGCCTTTGTCACCTGACTGGAGAAGGCAGAAATAAAACAATAATACAAATGGAAAAAAACTGCAAACGCTGTCTGGTTTTCTGTCTCTGAAACGAGCCGGTTCGGGCTCAGAACCGCAGAGGATCAAATCTTGACAAGAATCTGTTTTTTCCTTTTTATTGCAATGGGGGGGTGGGGTATGCTTAGAAATTCAAAAATTGTTGGATATTATAGAAAGTTTCTCCGTTATGGATCATTAAACTAAGAAATGTATCAAAGATTTGTGTCATGACTTTAAATGTTCACGTGCAAAGTTTAGGCAGCATTTGAAAAATTCAAAACATTTCACGACGACTAACTTGAATTTAAACCGTTTACTTGTATGCTTTTAAACTTGTCTGCAAATTAAATCGTTTGATTTGGTTGCCTTCTGATAAACTTTAATTTCAGAGCTAGAATATTTTAATATCTGCGTAAATTAATGTTTTGAGTTTGTATGTAAGGTAAGAAAAACAGCGGAGGAGGTCAACGGATATTTTAGCTTCTGAACCTCAAACTAAAGTTCTCTAACCCAAATGGGGCGTAATGACGGAAAATCATTTTCTACAGTATTTGATTGTAGCAGGTATAGTAATAAAAATCCCAGTAAGACTCAATTTTTATTCATTTTCTTTTGAGATCTGCTTAGAACCTCCAAACTGTTTTTGTGGCCCATTAAAGGGTCCAGAACTCGACTAGGATGAATGAAAAATGGACTTAAATCCATCTTAAAGGTCGTGATTAAAATAGGAGAAGCTTAAAATTGAAGTCCATGTAAAGATGTAATAAACGCAAACCTAAGTGTTAATGCTGCTTTGTAGACCTGTGGCGACGCCCCGCCTGAAGCTGAAATTGTGCCGATGAATCACTCCTTCCTGCACAACTGGAATAAAGATGCAAGTTTCATAGCAATGGTTGTGGTTTCTCTGACTCATCAGGAGGGATTTACTTCCTGTGTGTACGATGAGGCCCAGGCTGAAGCTGAAAGTGTGCGAGAAGAGCTTGTCAATGATTGAACAGACTCAGCAGGTTTATTATCAGACTGTTTGAGCCTGTTGGCCTTTGGACCTGCCTCAACTTTCAGCACTAAACCCCAAACTTTTAACCATTCCATCTGTTTTCTAGGCTAAACCTGAACTTATTGTGAAATACTTAATGTTTTATTCCGGGTTGAACACTAACATGAAAAATGAGCTTGTAAATAAAATATTTATGACCCCACATGAATGTAATTATATTGCTAAATACACCGATTATCAACATACCCATATTTGGAAGGGCGCCTCAGGCGGTGCGTCTTACGTCACTGCACCGCGACGTCCCCTCTCTCTTTCCTGTCCTGTCTCAACATGGCGCCGGTAGGTCCTCTCTACTCAGGAATTTACTCAAAAGTCGAATTATGTTACTTTTATTATTTCAAGTATCTATTAAAAAAAACTATAAAGCGTCACGGAGGCTAATCTACTGTAAATAATTCTAAGTGTATTAAATGAAAGCATATTACCGATGAACGGGCAGAGTTGGCCTTAACACGTGTCCCATTCGTACTGGAGACCATACTCCGTTGGAAAAACAAGTAGATCTAGGTCAAATTAGTGTTGTTCATATCGTAACCTTTTAATTAAATTATTAGGTTGTGTAAAGGTAGTATACGATCCACTGATCATTTCGGCTTCATTGTAAGGGCTGTTAGTCAAATGACTCTTGAGGTTTTCTACATTTTTATAACGTTAGCAACTGCTAGCACGAGTTAGCAGCATGTACCGGTAAATACTAAAGTGTACGAGTTTGTCAATTTAAAAAATATTACAAGTAATTCAATGTTTTGGTTATGTAAATTTATGGTGAAAAGTTTATTGAAATTAGTCTTTTTCCTTATGGTTTAAAATTACGTCATCTATACAATATTACCACCTAGGACGTTTATTTGTGCTTCTACACAAGATTTCTAACTGATTTGTGCTATTTTAATTTCAGATTACCGGTAAACACAAGAAGCTGGGTGCAGTTAAAAAGTCTAAAAAGGCAGCTGCCTGGAAGTTCACCCTGGACCTGACCCACCCTGTGGAGGACGGGATCCTGGACTCTGCAAGCTTTGTACGTCTTATTTGTCTTTACGTACACAGCACTTGTGACTTTTTAGTAAATTAAAGGTTTATTTAATCATTTTGCAATCAGCTTACCGTGTGTCTGGACTAGGGCTCACTTCCCTAGCTCCTGCCTCACTAGGGTTCCCTTCCCTAGTGCATCATTGTGCTCTGTCTGACAGGAAACCTTCCTCAAGGAGAGGATTAAGGTGAACGGGAAGACAGGGAACCTGGGGAACATAGTCCAGGTTGGCCGCATGAAGAACAAGATCAACGTCACGTCAGAGAAACAGTTCTCTAAAAGGTGAGCTGCTGCACATTGTAACCTCTAAAATATAAAAGAAAAGCAGATGACCGTCTCTAAAACTTGGTTTTAACCCGTCTCTCTGCTCCAGGTATCTGAAGTACCTGACAAAGAAGTACCTGAAGAAGAACAACCTGCGGGACTGGCTGCGGGTGGTGGCGTGCGACAAGGAGACGTACGAGCTGCGGTACTTCCAGATCAGTCAGGACGACGAGGAGTCCGAGGCAGACGAGTAAAAAGCTGCTCGAGAATAAATGTGGAAAACATTCATCTGTCCTGGGTGTTTGTTTGCTTTTACTTTGTTTTTCTGTTAAATTCATATTTCCTGGATTATGTAACAAACATCCTAAAGGGAGTATAAAATCTTTTGTAGTGTTTAATTTTACCACCACAAGTTTTTTTTATATATAACTAAGGTAATAGAGTTGAACTAAATCAGACATTTTACAGAAAGATTCCTGTAGTTTTTATTTTTTATCTGAACATATTTATCAAACGAAGCAGATTGTTGTTTCTGATGTGGTTCATTAAAGAGACAACAGGTGGCGCTGGGTGAGTGCACTGGGACTGAAATGAAATAATGTACTGCAGTTACTAAAACGTATGCATATGCAGAAAATCAAGAAATAAAATATGCAAAACGACCAAAAATAACGTTAAAGGTTCAAAACAACCATAAGAATTTAAATATTTTAAGCAGAGAAAAAAAACTAAGCTAATTTACAACAGATCTAATTTGAGGTCTGGTCCAGGAGGTAAACTCGGACCTCCCTCTTGGGGAATCCAAACTTGTTTCCAGGACTGAGAACGTAAAATCTCAGGAGAGTTCTGCATCTGACCCGGGGATTCCTGGTGCTGGCAAACCTAGAGGTACTAATTGGGTGTCTGGACTCTTGAAGAACAGAAGCTTTGCTTTGATCATGGAGCTCCTCAAGTCCGAGGCCGAACCTGACCACCGTGCAGAGGAAGCTCAATTCAGTGGATTTGATCCAGGATTTGGTTCCTTCAGACCCAAACCTGGCAACGTTTGAGGTTTAGACCAAAGTGCTGCCTTTTCCACCACAAAGGACCGGAGCAATCCATCATCTGCTCCATCACTCATTGAGATCCAATCATGGCTGTAGAGCACAAACAGAACCGCATCAATTCACAGAACAGCTGAGACCTGGACCAGCTCAAGAACGTGGATGCCATCTTTTTATTTCAGCTTATTTTTTAAGGAGAACATGTTTATCGACCGCTTGCTGTTCATTTATACTTTATTGTCCTTTTGGTTTTTATATTGTATCTGTTCGGAAGCTCTGTGTTCAACCTCCGTTAAAAAATAAAACTGATGTGGTTCTAATAGAACCAGATGATAAGAGCTCTGTTACTTCAACAAACAGCTGCTTTCCCAAAAACTAAATTATTTCAAAAGTTTGCAAAGTGAAGTTGAAACTACAACATGAGTTGAATAAAATGCAATTAAGGCCAATAATAACAGTTTGACAAAAGGAGATACAGACCACATCTTTTTATTTTAAGTTTTTAAGGATGTTTGACCTGTTCCATTTCACCTTAAAGTGCTGGCAGTTTAAAACAGACCCAAAGGCTCATGGGAACTGTAGTCCTTATGTCAGCTCGAACCTCGTCCTTAAGTATAATATTTTCCAGGTTATAAAACCTCCAGTTTCTGGCCTCACTCCGGTTCTTTAATCTGTTGTTCATAAAGCGCTTCATCTCAGGAATGTCTCCACCTTCGTCATGGGGAATCGAACTGTCGGTGCAGGTTTATCTCAAGCAGAACTCCTGAAAACATGAAACTAAAAAAAAAATAAAAAAAGCAGGAGTGTTTGCCACTCAGGTTTCATTCTGCAGATTTATTTTGAAACAGAGGTGAAATTAGCTTCCAGATTGTTGTGAATTTAAATAAAATCTAGTGTTTTCTTCAGTCCGAGCCGACTGGGAGGTGTTTAAACACCTGTGCCTGCAGGTAACTCTGTTATCTGACTCTGAGCATCAGATTACAGCGACACCTTGACACAGAAATGTTTCAGGCTGAAGCTGCAGAAACATCAAAATTATGAACAAATAATAAATAAAAAAAACCTCCCATGAGACGAATCTTCACACTTCAACGATAATTTAACTGTTTATTCTGCTTTTCTTTAAATGTCTGAAATGATTCTGTTTTCATCTATTTTTTTAGGAGTTGTAAAATTTAAAATTGATTTCTAATTTGGCTTTTTGTTTTGGTCTGATGTTATGTTTTACATGTTTTTATTTGTGTTTTGTGTCGTTTTTAAGTGTTTGAGGACACAATAAAACAGCTCTGATCCGTATCAAGTTCTAAAATTGTTCTGGTTCGATCTAAAATGGACAAAAACACAAAACAGATTCCACCGAGCAGTTGTGTGTTGACTCCACTTTCAAGAAGCTGCTGTTGAAGGGTCAAAGGTCAATTAGAGTCCATCATTCTACAGAGAGAAAGATTATTCACAAGTTGAATGAAAGTGGAAATCATTTGTCTGCTCCCAGCGAATTCACCCTGAAGGTCAGACCGTGCAATGAGCTCCATCCCAGACTCCACAGGCCTCAGTGAACAGGTCAAAGGTCACGATAACATGGCAGCTCCACTAAGTTTCATCTGAGGGAATCATGAGACGTCTGGGACAGAACCAGACCGGAGAGCAGATGTTTACCCAGAATGCACTGCAGCAAACAGCTCCTCCCAGCTGTCAGCATGGCGGTGGAGGCTGATGGTTTGGGCTTTGTGCAGTCATAGAGTGGGCCATGAACTCTTCTGTAGACCAAAGAGTTCTGGCTCTAAATGAGAGTCCGTCTGTCCAACAGAATCATGATCCCAAACACAGCAGCTGATCTACAAATGAACGGGTCAGGACGAGAAGAACAAATGGTCCAGTCAGATTCCAGAACCTGAACCTGACAAAACGCTATGGGTGGACCCTCAGTGAGCAGAACTGAAGCAACAACGTAAAGAAGAGTGGGCCAGAACTCCACAACCATGTGAGACTGATACAGTCCAACAGAAAACCACTGAGGGTTCTGCTGCTGAAGGAGTTTCTGGACTTGAAGAGTAGAACTATAAACTATAAGAACCTATAAGCGATGGGCTGTTTGTAGTTTATATTTAGTTGGTCTTTTTTAATGAAATTTAAATGTATTAATCCAATAAACTTGGGTTAGGGTGGCACCCCGCTGCTCGTGTCATGGATCTGAATATTTCATCAGTCCGATCACATGGTGTCAGCTCTGAGGGAGCTGATGCTGCCGGCTCATGGTGTCACCATTTTCTGCAGCTCTGCAGAGGACTGGACCACAAGCAGAGGACCGGACCGCAAACAGAGTGAGTCCAGCACCTTTGACCTGCTCCTTGGACTGTTTGACTCATTTGTGTCGTGTAAAACTCTGAGCTCTTCAGGGTTTTAAAGTCCGGCTGTACATGTTCCTCAGGAAGTCTTTGGTTATTTGACCTGAAGCAGTTTTTGCTCCATGGTTGTAGTTTTTCCGCTCTGAAAGTGGATCCTGGGGTGTCATCAATGATTCAAAGGGGGAGCCTCGCTCTAGTGACCGAGAAGAACAACTGATGGTATCTGCTCGTATCATCTGTACAGGAGGGGTTCTGATCGGACCCAGCTGGGACCTGCAACCACGAGCCCAAAGGTCTTGGTGCTTGGAGTTTTAGTTTTGTCCCGTGCTCATTTCTCCTACAGCAAGAAGTTTTTATTTGGGCTACAATACGAGTTAAAAAAGTTTGTTTACATGAATATGTTTGTAATTGATAATAACGAGGTATTGTGATTTTAAAAACACTTTAGAATACATACAGAGGGTTCAGGAAGGTTCATCTGCAGTTTTATGTTTAATTTTTTTTAAATAAATGAGCTACACTCAGTTAAAAGCCCATTTGAACTTTATTAGACTTGATTTCTAAGGGCAGCTAGCTGACGGTACATACTAGAGAAAAAATCAAGCCATGAGGTCAAAGTACCATTCCAACAGTGAAGCATGGCAGTGGCAGCATCATAATGGGGGGTTCCGTCAGACCTCAGTGGGCTTTGTGATTCAAACAGAAGACATTTGGCAGGACCAGGACTCTTCAAGGAGCTGATCCCTCAGCCGCACTGAACAGTTGAGGGAGAAGGGTCTATTAAGAACCTGCTGGTCCCTCTGGCTGAGCTTCAGATCCTGTGTGGAGATGGGACTGAGTTCCAGAACCAGGCCTTCACTGATCTGGACTTGATGGAAGCGTCTCCTTAGAGGAAAATGTGCTTGAAGGACTCAGACCTTGAAGAACAAGATCCTCTGGTCCAAGACTGATCTGGTTTCAAACAGACGTAACCACCTAACCAACATCAGCTCCACAATGAAGCATGGCGGTGGTAGCATCATGCCACGGAAGCCTTTCTAGAGATGATCAGATGAACTTAGGGGAACACTGACTGAGAAACTAAGAACTTTAAACTAAAGTCCAACCATGACATAACACAATTTAAAGCACCACAAACCCCCAAATCATTACAGGTCTGAGGACTTTCTGGACCCTGTCAGAACTGACAGCTAACTGACAAATCACAATAAAAACCTCTAGTCTTATCTGGTAGGTCTTACATTTGAGTTATTCCTAACTGACAGACACCAAATATCTCAAATGAGACTAATAAATGAACAACTAATCAAGAAAAAGCAGAGAAGAACCTCAGAATGTGCGATAAGTGATGACAAAGATGGAAAATGATCATTCAGCAGCCAACAAAGTTCATGTCAGTCTGAGAGATTTGCAGTTCTGCAGAAACTTTTTTGCCTTTATGTCTTTTGGGACTTGTTTCGTCATCCTTAAATGAAACCAGCCCCAGAATGTGATACCAGTTTAATGAACAGCAGCAGAACTCTGTCACTGGTCCCACTGGGATAGAAATACGCTGTAATGGCCAACGACAGCACATTTTATGCTAACAAGGCGAGAGTTTTGTGCCGCCATACTGAAAGGAGCTTCATGGTGTTCTTGGTTAGTGCCAACATGGCAGAGAACCTTGAATATCTGAGGAAAAATCAATTCATTCATTCACAGGGACTTTATTGACATTCACTGACATTTGGTTTTGTTATTTTCAGAGGTTCTTCGTTTGGATTCAGCTTTCATGAAACAAACCGGAAGCAGATTTGAGGCCGCTCCGGGTGAGACCATGGTAAACGGACTGTAGAGCTTGTTACCGTCAGCAGGTGATAACCAGGTGAGGCCATGGGGGGGTGGCTGGGTCGGGTGTCTCTGGGTGACGCCTGGTACAACATGTACTCCCGCCTGCTGAGGACCAAACCGGTGGGCTCCATGGCTCACAGCTCCGATGACCTCACCGAGCTGGCAGAGGGCTCGACAGTCGGACTGGCGAAAGTTCTGACCACTGTGGACCTGGTGTCACTTGGGGTGGGCAGTTGCGTCGGGACAGGGATGTATGTGGTTGCTGGGCTGGTCGCCAAGGCGATGGCAGGGCCAGGGGTCATCCTCTCCTTCATCATTGCAGCGGTGGCATCAATATTGTCTGGTAAAAAACTCTGATGGACTTTTACAATCCAAACGTTCTGAATTGTTATTAATGTTCATGAATGTGTTTTTCCTCTAAGGCGTGTGCTACGCAGAGTTTGGTGTCCGGGTCCCCAAAACCACCGGCTCGGCGTACACCTACAGCTATGTAACAGTTGGAGAGTTTGTGGCGTTTTTCATTGGGTGGAACCTGATCCTTGAGTACCTGATCGGCACAGCGGCGGGGGCATCGGCTCTCAGCAACATGTTTGACTCTCTGGCCAATCACAGCATCAGCAACTACATGATAACACACCTGGGCACGCTCAGAGGACTCGGTCAGTGAGAGAAAAAGATTGTTGCAAATATTACCTTTTTGAAGCTGTAACACAAATATTGACCTACTGCTGACATAAAAGCTATTTTTTTTAATAAAAACTGCTTTGAGTTGTTTATGTAAATATATCTTTATTAAAGATCAGGTGTGTCTCTGTCGTGTCAGGTAAAGGCGAGGACACATACCCGGACATATTGGCCCTATTCATCGCCCTGCTGGTCACAGTGATCATTGCGCTCGGCGTGAAGAACTCTGTAAAGTTCAATAACATCCTGAACGTGGTCAACCTGGTGGTGTGGGTCTTCATGATCATCGCCGGACTATTTTTCCTGTCAGCAAGTAACTGGGAGGGCGGAAATTTTCTGCCATATGGCTGGTCGGGGGTGAGTCATTATGCAGTGGGTTGGTTGGTGAGTTTAATAATGAGTAGATGGATGTAGATGGATGGCTTGGTGGATGCTGAGTGGGTTGGTTGATTTAACGATTGGCAGGTTGGTTGGCGTGTGAGTTGATTAGTTGGTTATTTGGTTGGTGGGTGGCTTGGATGGATGATAGAAGGGTTGTTTGGTAAGCTGTTTTTTGTTGGATGAATGGGTTGGCTGGTTGATAGGTTCAGTGGTTCCCAACCCTGGTCCCTGAGGAACACTGCCCTGCATGAACCAGTGGGTTAGATGGTTAAATGGTTGGTGGGTGGGTAGCTGATTGGGAGGTTGTTGACGAGTAAATAAGTTAGTAAGTAAGTGAGTGAGTGAGTTGGTTAGTTAGTTGGAGGGTGGCTCAGTAGGATGATAGGAGGGTTGTTTGGTGGGTTGGATAAATAGGTTGGTGGATTAGATGCTTGATAGGATGGTTGGCATATTGGTGGATACTTGGTGGGTAACTAACCAGTAGGTTGTTTGGTGGGTTGGTTGATGGGATAATTGTTTTGCAGTTTGGTTTGTTGTTGCATGTATGGTTGGTTGGTTAATTTGTTGTTGGATGGTAGTTGGTTGATTGCTGGTTGGTTGATTGGTGGGTTGGTTTCTTCCTTTCACCCCCAGACCTGTGCGTTAACAAAATCTTCTCTTACAGTGCCATAAATATTGGGCCAATTACATTCATTAACCATTTCTAATAATGCTTTGTTGTTTTGTTGTTGGACTGGTAAAACTATGGAAATTTTTTAATCTTTTAGATGACTCAGCAGCACGGTGGCGCAGTTGATAGAGCTGCTGCCTCTCAGCAAGCAGGTCACCCAGGTTCAAATCCCAGCCTGAGTGCCTTTCTGGGTGGAGTTTGCATGTTCTCTCCGTGCATGCATGGGTTTTCTCCGGGTACTCCGGTTTCTCCCCACAGACCAAAAACATGCATGTTAGACTGATTAGTAAATCTAAATTGTCCCGAGGTGTGAGTGAGAGAGTGAATATTTGTTTGTCTCTATGTGTCCCTGTGATGGACTTGCAACCTGTCCAGGGTGTACCCTGCCTCTCGCACAGTGATTGCTGGACATGGGCACCAGTGACCCATGCGACCCGAAAAGGAAGAAGCGGGTAAAGATGATGGATAGATGAGTCTGAGACCAGATTTTCTGTGACATATCATTTCTGTTCAGGTGATGCAAGGAGCAGCAACATGTTTCTACGCCTTTATCGGCTTTGACATCATTGCAACGACAGGAGAGGAGGCAAAAAACCCAAACACCTCCATCCCTTACGCCATCACCGTCTCACTGGTCACCTGCCTCACTGCCTATGTGTCGGTCAGTACAGCGTTCAAGACGTTTACACTTAAAATACACAATTTCTTCTTTAAATGGGTACTTGATCCATTTAAAGAACACCCCTTTTCCAAGGTTTTAGTCTCTTCCTGGAATTGACCGCATGCTTTATACAAAGTAGATCTTTTCTCATCATTGAGCAGATGACTGAACCATCAGGCAGAATGGTTGTGGATTATGGGGGTAACTATGAAGTTTCTGTACGTTGTCTAAATATGACTGAATGGTTATCTGCTCTGATGCTAGTCTAAACTGGTTTTCAGCCACTTAAGTCTTGATCCTAGTGTTCGTTTGGATGCATACTCGTCTAGAATAAAGCCTTCAAAGTTGATTTGTCTTGACATCGAAAAACTCTAGTCTTGATTCAGGTGTTCTTGACTATAACACAGTAAGTGTATTTTCACATTTGTTTGCTCCTTTGCTCCCAACAGGTGAGTGTGATCCTTACCCTCATGGTTCCCTACAACCTGATCGACGGATCAGCTCCTCTCATGGAGATGTTTGCTGTGCACGGTTTCATGTGGGGGAAATACACTGTGGCTGTTGGCTCCATAGCTGGACTCACCGTCTCTCTGCTGGGCTCTCTGTTCCCAATGCCCAGGGTCATCTATGCCATGGCCCGAGATGGACTGCTGTTCAGGTGAGGCAGAAGGAAATGCACTGACGTGTCAAGGTCATGATTCATTAGAGCCATTCTTTTTCCAGGGTTGAATGATTATACAGCTTCAGTGACTTTAAACATTATTTTTTACATTATTCCATACAGGCTCAAATACATATTTTCCTCCCAAGTAATATTTGTTTGGGGGTCAATTAGCAAGGTGCACCTGGACCAGACAGGACAGGCTTTTTGTAACCATCAACAAACTGTTCGACCACTTGTCTTGGTAGAAGTGATAGTTAATTTAAACTGATTGGTTTTCTGCACAAATCTGGCTTTTAAACATTGTCCACAAATTTTCAATTGGGCTGAGGTCAGGACTTTGAAAAGGTCATTCCAGGAGCTTAATGTTTGCCCACTTTATCTTATCAGAAACCAGTTCTGATGCGTGTTTGGGATCACTGTACTGTTGGACCCAACTGTGTCCAGGTGTCAGCTGTTGATTTGAGGTGAAGTTGATGAATTCATAGGGAGGTCTCTTCCTTCATCCACCAGTACCACATCATACCCCCTCCATTGGTACAGTTTTCATCTTGACCCCCTCCAAACATTGGTCATTGTGTCCAAACAGCTCAAATCTAGTCATGTCTGACCACCAAACTTCTCTACTGAGGCATTTGGTTTGTCCATGTGGACAATTGCAGAGTTCAGTCCAGCTTGAAAGAGTCACGGGGGGTTTTCCTTGGTCTGCACCCCCCGTTTAAGTCCATGTGGACGTAGAACTGACTTTGCTGTGGACAGGGACACTGAGGATCTATATTTCTGGCAGCTCCTGGGATGTTCTTAAAACATCCATTTGAGTCATCTTCCAGACTTTGGTAAAGGTGTGTGTATTAGAGAAAAACCAAATGAATAATAAATAAATGCATTCCAACTTGTGCACCAAGTTAAAAAAATCCTTGAATTTACATAATCATTCCACTTTGGTACAAATAAATTGTTTAAAAGTCTAATTAATTTGTTCCTGATAAAAACTTGTTTTGTGTCTGCATTTGTAGGTTTCTGACACACGTGTCATCTCTCACACACACTCCTGCCGTGGCATGTGTGGTGTCGGGAAGCTTGGCGGCCATCCTGGCTCTCCTGGTGAGCCTCAGGGACCTGATCGAGATGATGTCCATCGGTACGCTCCTGGCTTACACTCTGGTCAGCGTGTGTGTCTTATTACTGCGCTACCAGCCTGATGAACAGACTGACACACACCAGTTTAACTCGGAGGACGATGTGGACCACTTGAAGTATCAGGATGGGGAACCCACCATAGGCGACCATGTCCTGATGGAAGGGACGGATCGTGATGGGCCTTCCTATCATGGTGGGGGGACTGAAGGGGAGGTAGACAGCTCTGAGTTCCACACAGGCCACGCCCCCTTGTTGAAAAGGCTTCTGGGAGGTCATTACTACACCCTGAGGGTTCGGCTGGGAATACCAGATTCGTCAGCACGTCCCACCCCCACTACGGGTCGCATTGTGACCAGATGCACCCTCTCCTTCTTCTTCATGTCCTTCTTCCTCTGGTCCACCATCATCTTTGGAGTTGAGCAGGGCTCTGGGGCAGGGGCGGTGGTTTCAGGCCTGATGGCCACACTGATGATGGGATCCTTGGTGAAGCTTTTGATTCTGATTGTACAACAACCAGAGAGCACACGGAGGCTGCCCTACATGGCACCCTGTGTGCCCTTTGTTCCTGCGGTGGCCATATTGGTCAACAGCTACCTCATGCTCAAGTTGTCTTCCCTCACCTGGGCCAGGTTCACCATCTGGTGTCTCATAGGTGAGTTGAGATACTCTCACCAAACTCATCTGAAGTTCTTTTCCTGAATGGAATCTTCTTTCACTGACCAATAAATTTAAAGTCCCAAAGACCCATAAACCTGGTAACTGGTTGAATTTTTCAAACATCATTAGAGTTTTTCATCAAATATTAATTAAATTTGTATTTATCTATATGGCTTTTTAAAAAATATCTTTTTGCATCATTTAAGGCTAAATGTACTGAGGTTCTGTAGATCTCAAAAGATTCTCTGACTAGTTGGAACAATAGACATTATTTGGTAAACAATGACTTCAGCAATAAAACCTATACTGTAAAAAGAACTGTAGGCTGTTTACTTTTTATAGATTTTTTAAAAATATTAATGACGCATGGATGTCTCCATTTCATTTATGCTGCAATGCATTTTGGGTAAATGATGTATACATGTTACTCCGGTACGAGCTTCATTTATCTCGAAGGTTAATTTTGTACATTATCTGATGTTTAGCTCTTTAATTTGAACTGGAGCACGTTGACAGAGGAAAATGGAGAAATGACTCAGCTGGGAGTTAGCACCAGAGCTAATGTGTACAACGTTAGCTCTGGAGATAATATATAGGTCAGGTCTCTCTTGTAAATGAATCCCCAGGGCTCAATGGGACTAACCTGTATAAATAAAGGTTGAATAGCCTACGATGTTAGCTCCAGACCCAATATGTATAGTGTTAGCTTCAGCGCTACAAATTAAACATAACTTTATTGCATTTATTCGTTTCAACCCATATTATGCACAAGGACTAATACAAAATATAACTTTATTGTCACACGTTATAACTTTTTAGCATTGACCCCTCGTGTTTCAGTCTCCACTACAACCTGTGTATGTCATCGCCCCAGAATGCATTGCGCCAATAAAATAATGATGACGCCCTAGGTAAAAAATGTAATAAACATTAATTTTTGTAAAAGTTAGAGTTTTTACATGTCCCAAACAATAACTTTTAGTAGAATCGAGAAAAAACATATTAAGGCCAATATGTCAGAGATCACGTTAAGATACTCCACATTGTGTTTTGTGACCCGTCTTGGATTCCCATCCCCATCTTTGGGGACCACTGGTCTAGTTGGGATGGTAATGCTAGTAATTTTCATGCTGTAGAGGCTCATCACTGTTTAGATGCACAATTCACTTACACAAAGTGTAGTATCCCACTGGACCATTATTGTTGGAGACTATCAAACTAAATTTGCGAGGGGAGTCATGAATAGGAGTGTTTTGCAACTTGTGAATTCAAATTGTGACCAATTAGAGATAAAAAAAATGGATTAAATAGAGCTCATACAGAGACATGGTTTGGATACTTTGTGACTAAACTGCAACAAAACAATGTGCTCACCATTTGCAGCATTGGTGCAGTTTATTCAGTTACATAGAAATGCAAACATGTCGTAAGTTCTCTTGCATGTGAGTTCAGTTCCCAAAAAAGTAGTTTTCAAAGCTTGGAACGCCTGCTCCAACACAACAGATTCAATGATTAATTGCATTTATACAATTATATTGTGTCTGTAAGTTCAGCAGGGCTATTAATTACTCATTTATTTAAATCAGGTGTGCTGAAATAGAAAAAAAACATCCATGCACACCTATGGTTCTGGAGGACCAGGACTGGACACTGACTTGTCCTGACATTAGCTTCAACCTCGACAAACCTGACACATTTTGTCCTCTACTGACATTTTATTAATAGCAATTATCTCCCAATTCTATTTAAATTGTTTCTGAGGTTGTGGGTCGTTTTTGATCAAAGATGCCAAGAAAACTCAATCTTGGGTCAGAATCCTCCCAGTCTACCAGTCTGACCTCTCGACCTGAGCGTTTTTAATCTTTATCTTTGGTCCCGTCTCAGGTCTGCTGATCTACGTTTGTTACGGTGTTTGGCACAGCACCCTGGAGCTGAGCGCCCGTGAGCAGCAGGCCCACGCCAGCTCCTACCGGCGCTACGATGACAACCTGGACGATACCTTCTCCCCCGAAGATGACCTTGAACCCAAGGAGCAGGATGATGGACCCTACCAGGGTTGGTCTGCACCGGAGGAGAGGGGTTATCGCCACCAGAACCAGCAGCAGAACCAGAACGAGGACTACGAAGAGGAGCAGCAGCAGAGTCAGAATGGAGACCAGTCTGGGTACCAATCTGGAGGAGGAGTTCAGTATCCAAGTGGAGGCAGCAGGTCCAAGGGAAGGACCAACTTTGGGTTTGATGAGGACGACTGAATTTAGGATTTTGGCTTTATCCTCCCTCTGGAGAACTCCATCTAAAATCTGGAAGAGTTGATCAAACTTTGGAATTTGGTATCAAATGAAGCAACATTTAAGAAGATTTGGACCAACAGATTCTTCGTTCCATCACCGAACCTTCAAGCATGCATCAGGATACTTCAAGGATTTCCTTTTGAACGTGAAACACCTCAAGACAATTTAACTTTACCTTGCCTTGTGTTTGTTTAGTCTTTACATATTTCTAATTAGAGTGATTATTCAGTGTTAATGTGTGTAAATGACAACAAGTGTTTGATTAAGTCCTTTTGAAAATACAATAAAGCAAGCTGGGACTTGTTTGTGGAGTAAAATACATTTTTATTGCTTGGATTCTCAAACAAAATCTGCAGTGATGGCACACAAATAAATTTATGTATATTCATCATGCAAGAGTTGAGTACAGTAAAAAAATAATTAACAAAAGACAGTTCCTGTTCTTACCTGTTCAGGGAAACATCTTTTTATGTATAATAATTGTATAGAAGTGTAGTCGTTTAGTTTAACTCATGAAAAGCTTTTATTATGAAGGTCAAACAGACATTAACTTTAGATTAAAACAATAAACTTCTTATCTTTAAGAATGAACTTTTTCCTAAAGTTTTTGTAATTTTTGGATGTTTTATGGCAGAAATACAATAAAATATTCCACTTTACAAAATCACAAAGAAATAAAATTTATAAAGTTTGTAATTTCATCCCCCCCCCCAAAAAAAAATTTTAATGAATCAAACTAAAGAAATTACATTTGTGAACTTTTAGAAGCTGTTCAGTTTGTTGCAATCTGCAGATTCGCCACTAGATGTCACCAAATTTCACTAATAGTTTTGTTATAAAATTAGCAAGTTTGTGAAATTGATGTCCACATGTATTTAAAAAAAAAGTAGCACAAATCAAACATACAGTATGTTTACAACCCAACTTTATCTGGCATAATTTAGTTTGAAGTTTAAAAAACAATCATTTGTTTTTATTTTAGAAAAGAAAAGTACTTTTGTCTAACATTTAGGTTAACTAAAAGTATTTTTAAAAATGATGTTTAGTTTTTCTTGTGTTTTAAAGTGAAACTTTCAGCTGAAAACAGCCTTCAGACTCGTTCGCTCTTGGCGTGGTTGGAGGGCCGATCCAGCGGCATGGCAGTGTTCCCCCGTCGGGAGTAGAAGAAGCTGTTCTCCCTGGACGGGATGCCGACGCTGGCGACCTGGCAACACAAGATCACGAACCCCCCCAGCATGCAGAGCCCTGCTCCGACCCAGCCGGCGTACAGGGAGAAGCCGAAGGACATCAGATGTTCCTCCTGGTGAGCGCCGATGGGGAACCAGATGGTGGATATGATGCCACAGACAGCTGAAACAAAGAAAAACAGAATAGAATGACTCGTTAAAACCTTCGACAGCTGGAGAATGTTGACAGGAAGTAGCTGTCTCATCCCACAGGAAGCAGAAAAATCCAGTCAGGGTGACCTCTAAACCGTGACACAGGTTCCCTCCTTCCTCCTCCACCTCAGCTGGAAGGACCAGAGTTCTCCAAATACTAAAAGTATTAATACAGGCTCATATAAAGAAGTTACATCTCATCTGTAATAACTTTTTGAACAACCTCAATTTGGAGAAACAGATTCTAATACTGATGAGCTAACAGGTAGCTTGAGCTAACAGCTAGTTGCTAAAGGCTAATATTGTCTTAAAACAACTTTAATCTAAAAATCTTAAAGCGGTTCATGCAAACACTATTATAAACACTTACACTGCTATCAGTTTTGCACCCCATGGTTATACAGATATCTGTGGCTTTATGCCAGTAATAGCAGAATTAGCCGCTAGCTAATTCTTGCAGGGAAATCACAACTATTGCTGGAACAACTGTATAATGACAATCTGATGTACAATATAAAGTTTTTAAAAAGCTATCATTGTGTAAAACACTATATTTTGGGGCTGAAGTTACTTTAAGATGGTCGTACAGCTCCACTTGGATTAACCATTATTAGATTAGATCTTATTTTAAAGAGTCCGAACTTTCGACGACTGTCCTTAAAACTACTTTAGTTCATGTGTTGGTTTATATTTATCTTAGTTCCCAAACCAAAACAGCTGAAAACCCTGAACTCTGTCCAAGTTTTTACCTGCTTTTGGGCCCTTCGTTAAACTCGAGTTAATGACACTTTGTTAGATTAATAACAGGGTTTTTGGATAATTAGACAAGAAAGTGGTGACTTGATATATATTTTAGTTAGGAAAAAATGCATGCAATTATACTCTAATATCGAAAACCTTTAAGTAACTGCTTCTACATTTATTTTAAAAGACGCTGTTTTGGAAATGTTTAATTACTGTCTGTTTCTTTACGTTTCAAGTGCAATATCTGAAAATATCATAATTTACCAAGAATCCTTTAAAACGTTACCTAGTTTATCCTACTGGAATAAAAAAAAAATCAGTCTGAATTAATATAACAGTTTCTAAAACTCAGCTCTCTTTGAATATGAATTAGCTTTTTGTTATTTTTATTTATTGTTACAATGTATAGGGACAAGTGTTAAGTATTTACAAAATATCGTACCCAAAATCATTTACAGCCTTTGCTCGTTTGCAGTGCACGTCCTTTAGCTACATAAAAATAAACTACAACTTTAGTATCGTTTTAAATTATGAAAGTCAAACTCGTGGCGTAGTTCAGCCGTGTGTACATGGTTTTTGTTAATTTTTTTAGTCTAATCAAGAATCTTGTCAGGCCTGGTAGTCCTTTTCAGGACCAAAGCCTGGTTCTGACTTGGTAGAACCAGGTTTTTGGATTAGAGGTTAGGATTAGGGCTGAGGTACAACTTGACTTTAGGTTAGGGTTAGTCAAGTACTGGTAATGGTTTGCTAAAGGTTAGGTTATGTAAAAAAGAAAAAAAACAACATCCTAATGGTGACATCCTCACCCATGATGGTGACCAGGACTCCGCCCACCTTGGCGCGACACTTCTTGACAGCCGAGGAGTCATTGGGCAGCCGGACGCAGGGCATGGACATGAGGATGAGAAGCATGGCGGGCAGACCCAGCAGGCAGGCGAAGACCATCAGAGCCCGAGACGTCTGGATGTAGGCTGAGGAACACCAAACATCTGTCAGCTCGTTTCACATCTGGCGCTACCTCAGACGTTGGCCCATCACACAGCTGAATTCTTTCCTTAATGGGTTTCAGCTGAACATCTCTGAAGCCATGGATCATCTCTAAACGCACCTTCATAAATCAAGGTTTGAAGCTCCACAAGGTTTGGAGCAGAAAGTCCCAAAAACAGAATAAATGAACTTTTCTAAATCCAGCCCTCGTTTCTTCCGATCTTAATTCCATTTCTCCAGACTTTCTGAGAGTCTTTCTAAGGAATTTTTTGGACTTTGGTTGGAGTTAAAAATGGAAAATGTTCATGAACAACAGCTGAAACTGAGTAAAAAAAAAGCAGCTTAAGAAAAAAAAAATATGAAAGCAAATAAAACATTGTAAGAGCTTCAGAAAGTCTGGAGAACTGTCCACGAAGAGGATTACTTGGAATATTGGAAGGAAAATATGAAGGAACAAGAACATTTATGAAGGAACGTTGAAGAACATCCATCATCTTTCTTCTCCAGGTCCCAACAGGAAGCTGGGATTGACTTTAAAGTACAGTAATCTGTAGTAAGTTTCTTTTGGCTGCTCTTTTCTTCAGGGGTGGCCACAGCGAACAAACTCGTATGAAAGATTTGGCAATTGTTTTACGCCGGATGCCCTTCCTGACACAACCTGGCCTTGAACCCACAACCTCAGGATTACAAGACCACAGCGCTGACCACCAAGGTTCTTTATTGTCATTCGCATCACATGTGGTACATGAGGTGGAACGAAATTGTGTACTCAAGGTCCCAGTTACACCCCAAAATAGCAAAAAAACAATATAAAGTATAAAAAGAAACCACATACAAGGATCTAAGATACACTAAACACTAATAATGTAAAATAATATGGTATATTACCAAGCTACCAGCCCTGAATTTAAAATAATCTAATCTGAGACAACACCTTTTTTATTATTTTTTTAATGTACAAACTGTAGAAGAGCAAAGTCTGAGAGAGGAAGAAGCTTTGGTGGCTAGTGGGTCGGCAGGTAAGTAACTCCCACAGGTTTAATGGTAATTAGGTGCGTTCTGTCAGGTGGGTTCTATCAGGTGGTAAATAGGGTTCTGTCAGGTGGGTTCTGTCAGGTGGGTTCCTCACCTGGCAGGGAGAACATCTGGTCCAGACCCACGCAGTGGTACAGGGACGGGGAGATGACGCACTTGGACCACAGACCCCGCGAGCCCAGCTCGTCCATCTTCACGCACACCGCCAGAGTGTAGCCGCACGTGCGGACCCAGTCGCTGGTTGCAGTGGCAACGATGAGTCCGACCCAGCCCGCGCAACTGGCCGAGCTGCCCGCCAGCTGCCTGCAGATGTGCGCCATGAGAGAAACAAAGAAAATAAATAAAATAAATTTACAAAAAGAAGAGCTGGAGGAGCGGACTGTTCTGTTAAAAACCTGATGTCTGAAATGTTCACGAGCAGAATGAAATAAAATAAAAAATCACAAATTATTATTTTTTCTTTTGGAAATAAAAAAATAAATAAAATAAACCCCAAAAACTAAACTAAACTAAAAACCAGAATTAATTTGATTTTGGAGCGAATCAGAGAGTTTAAATCCACAGCAGGTCTGCTCCGAGCTGTCAGTGCGCCTGAAGGAGATTCATCCATGGGTGTGGAGGAAAACCCGACCCCTCGGTCCAAAACCAATCAGAGGAGACCAGACCCTAACCCAAACCAGATCCAGAGCCAGAGAAAACCAAAGACTTGGATCCGTCAGAGGAGCGGGTATCTCCTCCACAGACCTGGTCCAGGTGAACTCATAGGAGCAAAGATATAAGACACATGTTAAGATAAATTAGCAGAAACATTAGTAAATTGGTAAAAATATATATATATATATTTTAAAAAGCTGAAGTTAGCAAAAAGTAGCTGACAAGGCAGAAATACGCATAGTGGAAGGAGCTGAACAAAAAATGTGGCATTAGCTGAAAAAGCTAAATTTAGCACAAAACAGCTAAAAAGCAGAAACTAGCAGAAAAAAGCTTAAAGGAGCACAACAACCTGGAATTAGCAGAAATAAGTTAATTAGGTTGAAAATAACAGAAATTACCACAAAAACTTGAATTTATCTGAAAACAGCTGAAATTAGCTAAAAATGCTAAAAAGGTAGCTGAACAGGTAGAAAAAGCTTAAATTAGCAGAAGAAAGCAGAAATAATACATTTGCTCAGTTAGGCTGAAAAAAGCAGAAATGTGCATGAAGAAGTGGAAATTATTTGAAAAAAGCTGAAATTAGCAACAGCAACAAACAAAACAGCTGAAAAGTAGCTAAAAAGGCAAACAGAAGCTGACATTACCAGAAAGAAGTGGCGAGAGCTCATTTTTGCTGAATTAGGCTGAAAAATGTTGAAATGAGTGCAAAAAATGTGGATTTAGCTGAAAAAACTAATTAGCATAAAACATAAATAGTAGCTGAAATAGTAGAAAAAGCTGAAACTTGCCAAAATTAGCTGCAAGGAGCATAACAAGCTGAAATTAGCAGAAAGAAGTTAGAATGATCACAGAAATGTCAGCAGAAAGAACCTGAAAAAGAGCACAAAACAGGTGAGAAACAGCTGAAATTAGCTGGAAAAATGTTTAAATTTGCACAAGGAAGCTGAAAGAAGCTGAAGCAGAACAAAATGTGCAAGGAGCAGTAAAAGGTTGTAAACACATCTAAAGATTTGAAGGATGTGAAATGAGCTCAGTTCATTTTCTATGAGGAAAAAAAAAAGGGCAGAAAAGGCTAAATATTAAAAAAAAAGCTAAAGTTGCACCAATACCAAAACCCTTCTCCTGAAAGAGTTTTGATTTATGATTTGTTGAAATGGCACAAAAATTGAAGAACGAGAAAGATGCTGAAAAATGTACAGAAGTCAAATGGATGTCAACAGAGTGAAAGCTTCATAAACATCCACACAGTAAATACAAACAGGTAAAGACTGCAGCAGGGTATAGCAGCATAACTAAGGGATAGCTCAGGAAACCCAAGCCAACCTTAACTGTAGGATTTATCAAAAAGGAAAGACATAATCCCAGTCTAACCATCAACCCTCCACCGCCGTGCTGACAGCTGGGAGGACGGTCTCACGGGCTGAGAAGCTTGTGAGCTTGTCTGGGACAAGTTGGAAACACAGTTGCAAGAAAACGCCTAAATGTGACCTTGGAATGACACTGAAAGAGATTTTCATGAGCCTCCAGTGAAATTCAGAAGAAACATCTCCAGGAGTTTCCTTTAAGAAGCGTCAAACTGGTTGTTGGCGTCTCGAATGCATATTTGTTCAAAACGGGTTAAATCTGCCCGCCCTCATGTCCAAAATGAGCTCCAGGAGATTAAATCAGAAATGTGGGTACCATATGGTTAGTGGTGCGCAACGGGATAGCGTGTGCCGCCAAAAGCACAATTTTACAAGCTGTGCACGCATCAAAGGCTGTGATTTCACAAACTGACTGTTAAAAATGGCTTCTGGTTCGCTGAGCAAACAGCTAAAGTTCAGTCAGACCAAAACTGGGGATTTTCAGAATTTCTCTCAATTCAGTGGAAATGACCCAAACCTCCAGCAAAACTGGGGTTAAAGTTAGTCGGGTGTTTACACTTATCAACGAGGGCCGTTTGCAGTTTGTCAGTTACAGCCCTACTGGTTTAAGATGTTTGCTGCAGTGCATTCTGGGTAAACATCTGTCCTCTGATCTGATTCTGTCACAGAAGTCTCGTGGTTCCTTCAGATGAAACCAACCCAAGTTGTGCTGCCATGTTGCTTATAGAGACAAGGTCATGACCTTTGACCTGCTGAGACCTGCAGAGTCAGAACTCACTGCACGGTCTGACCTTCAGGGTGAATTTCCTGTCAGCCGTATTTAAAGTTTTCCACTCATGGATAAACTCTGTAGAACGACGAACCCTAAATGACCTTTGACCCTTCACAGATTGACAGGCAGCAACAGCAGCTTCTCTGAGGTCATTGCTGATGTCTTTCCACCTTGGCCTTGTGTTCCTTGAGGAATATCGTTTATCCGGTTCTGAGACCTTCAAATTACAAGAGTTAGAACTCAAACAGCAACAACGACTCGTTTTGGTGAATTATTTATTTATTAAATAATTTCAAGCAGAATATAATAAAAATGTGAACAGAAGACGTCCGTCTCGACCCTGATCGTGACTTTTTTAACCCACAGATTTTTTGTCCAGAATATATCGATATAAAACATTAAACTTTCATCAATCACTTACAAAGTCTACGTTTTATTTATTTTATTTAACTCTTTACACACACTGGTTATGTCGGCTACAGGGATAGATTTGTCGTTAACGTCACGTTGCTAAAAAAAACTAGACAAATTTTATATATTAAATGTTCAAAATCCTTCATGAAATATTTTGAAATGTACACTCTCCAGTAGCTTGTAAAATATTCACAAAAATACAAAAACTCCTCAGACGTCCTGCTGCAGACGGGCAGAACGGGACCGAACACCCGTGGGTTCTCCGGTTTCTAAAACCTCAGGAACGACCAACGAGCCGAACTTTCTCCTCTTTTTGTGACTTTGTTCTGTCGTCTTCGGCTCGTCCTTGGGGCTCCGCCTCACGGGTTCTTCAGCGTGTTGATGTGAGCGCAGATCTTCAGAGCCGGGCCCAGTTTGATGTTCATGCTGGTCATCAGGTGGTCCTCGGTGAGGAGCAGCAGAGCCTGACCGTCGATCTCCTGCAGCCGGAACGCCTCTGCCACGTCACCGCAGCCTGAAACAAAAAAAACTTTTTTTGTTCCATTTAATCAATTCATGAATGAAAACGTTCGGCTCATTCAGGACGTTCCTGCGCTGGTACTTGTGCAATTTTTAATTTTTGAAACATTTAGCTTTGTCAGCCATGTTTTTCTCATTGAAAAATTTTGGAGCTCTCTACATTCTTCAGATACTTTGAGCTGTTTAAAACCTTTACTGCTCATTTCAGCTTTTTTTTATACGTTTTTTCGCTTTTTGCTAAATCCAGCTTTTTCAGCTACGTTTTAGGTATTTTTCAGCTAATTTCACCTTTTTTTATAGCTTGTTTCTGCTAAATTCAGCTGCCTATTCAAACTGATTTTAGGTATTTCCCTGCAATTTCTTTAGCTAATTTCTGTCTTTTTAGTAGATTTTTCAGCTAATTTTCTTTCTAATTTCAGCTTTTTGTTTTTCATTTCAGTTTCTCTTTTGCAAGCTTCAAGTTGTTTTGTAATCTGATCAGCCTCTCTGCCTATTTTACATTTTTTTCTACAGATTTAAACTAAATTTCTGCTGCTTACAGTACATACAGCTGAAAATACTCCAAAAGTATACAAAAAATATGATATCAGCAGAAAGATAGCTGAGACAAGCATAAAAAAATTGAAGCCAGAAAAAGCACAAAAGGAAGAAATTAGCAAAGAATAACATATATATATATATATATATATATAATATATATATTATATTATATAAATAATTTATATATTGTACAATATATAAATAGTAAACATATATATACATATTCATATATATGTATACATATATATATTTATACACATACACACACACACACACACTATAATTATATATATATATATATATATATATATATATATATATA